ATCGAACCACTGACCTCTGCGATACTAGTGCAGCGCTCTAACCAATTGAGCTAACAAGCCAACTGAGAGCAGGCCGTTAAGTTGATTCGTAATAGACCCGTGAAAGTGATAAATGAGAGAATGAAATATATGAAGTTCATATATTTTGTACTGCTCTATTGGTCAATTAGTTTGATTAATTTCATTAACATCCTAATGGACCAATGTTAGATAAACTAGTTAATCAACTGTTGATTGTTTTTTTGTTTTTTTTTTTTAAGTGGTTCATCTAGCCCTTTAACTCCCAAAATCTGGCTGTTAATTCTCCCCTCCAGTTGCTGTACATTTCCTTGTATGTTAGTTATGAGAATTTGGTGTTAGATCAAGAAAACGACTTCAACCTGATAATTTTAAGTATTTTAATTACCTGTTCGCTGGATAATGTATGGATTTTATAAGGAGAAATTATCTGTTAATTGCTCCTGAGAGTTAAATAGTTAAATGAGTTTAATAATATAATTGTCTAAACTATAGGAAAGTCTTGAAGTGAGCCTTGAAACTACCTACAATCCTGGATCAGGTATAAATTAATAGATAAATAGTATGTTGCAACTCTAGGAATAATAGCTTAATAATTAATCTTTTAATCCAAAGATCTCGTGAGTAGTTCTCCATACTGTCTGATGCACAATTTCTTTGGTGTTGGTTTGGAGAATTTTTGCTGGATCAGCTAATAATTGTTAAATTGATATTTGTCTTAACTCTCATCACTTGTCTGTAGGACATTGTATTGGGAGTCAGAGTATCTGTAACTTTTTGTGTGGAATCAAATCTGAATAATAATATTATGTTGTCAGAATATACAAACTAACCTTAACTAATAATTGAATGTGTAATATTTTAGATGTTGTTTGAAATATGGTTGAAATTTTTGAGAAGTGCAAAGGAGACTATAGCCATTGACTTGAATTTCATGTAGCTCACTAATGAGGAAGTGGGAGATCTAGATGCAGAGTTGAAATTGTCAGTACAATGGACTTCAAGTTGAGAGGTCTGAATCTGAGACATGGTTGGGTCAATGTTTTGTGTTCAAAGCACCTCTCTCTCTCTATGCACCAATGAGTATAAATGGGTACCAGAAAATTGTCAGGGAGGCCAGATGCAATGCTGGGGGGGGAGGGGTAACCTTGTGATGGACTGGCCGAGGCCATCGAGGCGAGGAATAGTAATAAGTCCTAGCCACTTCTTGTCACTCGAAAACTGGGAAATGCGGGCTGGGTAGGCTGATAGGTTCAAGTACAGACTTTACCTTTTCTAACTAGGAAATTAGGAAGAGTAAGTTTTGTTGTTGCTTTTGATTCTGTAGTCCTGGACATGCCTAAACGTCCTCCTTGGAGATATACCATGAGTAAGGAACAAGTAGAACGAACAGAGCAAGAGATGTTTGAAAAATTCTTGGACAAGATTTATGACGAATACAAGCTCTCTGAGCTCAGTTACTTTGAGCGAAACTTGGAGGTAATGATCTATACCTTGTCACTGTACAATTTCTCAAATCAGAATTGATGATTAGGTATTAAAATCCATATCAAAAGAGATTTCTTTAGACATAAAACTGTAAAAACGAACGATAAAATCTGATGCTTCGGAGTAGTGATGACTCCATTATTAAGGAAAATATAAAAGATCATGCATATTGCAACATATACTTGGCATTTTTGGTGCAAAGTATTAACTTAAGAGGGTGTGAAGATCATAAAAATATTATAAAAATACTTTTGCATGAATGGAGTCTGCATGATTGCATGTTGAGATTTGGCTTTAACAATTTTCAATGTGACCTAGCTGTGTGATGTGGGTTATGTAGGTTACACACGCGGACATTTACATAATTGAGTACAAGGACATAAACAACAATCCTCTGCCATTGCCAAACACTATAAGAACATGCACGGAACAATGCCCCAGGGCCTGCTAAAGCGTTTTGAAGTGCTTAAGAAATGCAGAAACAAATTTGACTGCTCAGTGTACGAAATGCTTTTCATAAGAGCTTTTAAAAGCCAAATCTCAATGTGCAATCAGACTCCATTCGTGCGAAAGTATTTTTATAATATTTTTATGACCTTCGCACCCTCTTATGTTAATTCTTTGTGCCAAAAACACTTTATATGTTGCAGTATGCATGATCTTTTATATTTTCCTTGATAATGGAGTCATGACTACTCTGAAACGTCAGGTTTTATCGTTCATTTTTACAGATGATTATAGGTAGCACTTTAAAAATATTTGTCAGCCTTTCATGTTATTTGGTGGACCCATTTTGGTAAAAATTTAAAGTGCACACAGTTGAATATGTGTTGAATGAAATTTGTTATTTTTTGTTGTTATTGGAAGGGATTTTAATGTTAAAATAAAATAATGTAAATTTTATAATTGACTAGAATAGCTTTTTTAAATGTTTCTATCGCAGACATGGAGACAGCTGTGGCGAGTATTAGAAGTTGCTGATATTGTTGTTCTTATATCAGATATTCGACATCCAGTAAGTTAATTGTTAGATAATGCTGAGTTTCCGTCTTTAATTTTGCAGCTTTTATTGATAAGGATCATAAACTGAGGGGATACAATTTTACTGATGCATTTTCCCTGAAAAGTTCAGAGGACCTTTACCCTAATATTCAGTGGGGTAATGTAAAGTCTGTTTACAAGCAAAGTGGCCCATTGTGCTGGCCCATAACTATTTCTAGTCCTCCATGGATGGGATGCTAGTCCATCACAGAGTTACCCCTCCCGCATCAAATTCACTGTTACCCATTTAAACACCTTGGTGGAGAGAGGCACTGTGATAGTCAAGTGTCTTGCCCAAGAACACAGCACAATGTCCCAGGCCAGTCTCGAACCCAGACCATTCGACTGGCCTGGGACATTGTGCTGTGTTCTTGGTTAGGTTATCATCCTGTAAAGGGACTTCTGAAAGTTGTTAATGGTTCATATATGATCTCACCCTTTTTCGATGACTACCAGTCTATGGCATCATTTTGTCAGGCTTCTGTGAGTCAATTTGTGGGGGTACCGCTTTATACCCCTGGGTGGAGAGAGGCACTGTGAGAGTAAAGTGTTTTGCCCAATAACACAACACAGTGACCTGGCCTGCCAGGCCCATTTCTCAAAAGTCCTGGTAATGGGCCTGAAGCCATGTTTTAAAATCAAAACTTAAAGGGATAGGAAAGCAGGTTCTGGCACCCAAACCAGTCCTTTTTGTTTTGTTTTTTTTTTTTAGCTGATAGATTTATTGTATCATTTTCAGAGCTTTTGAAATCCCTATCTTGAATGAAAACAGAACAGCTTGACAGGCCACTGAGTTACCAAAACTTTCAAGAAACCGACCCTTGGTCTCTATTCTGAACTTCTTAACCCAGGGTCCACAAACAGTCACTATATCTCTTCAAGTGACTGTTCCCTTTGTTCTCATGACCTCCATGCTTGATTCAGGGAGGGGGGGGGGTGATATTGTAACAAGAAGTTAGATACTAGTTGCTCCAAGTGGTTAAAGGTTTAAACAATCTTACAAAGAAACCTTTTTTGTCTATGAGTTAAAGGAAAGTGGTTTGGAATGTTGGATTTAATATCTCCCGTTGGTCAATTAGGTTGATTAATTTCACGAACAGCCTAATGGACCAATGTGAGATAAACTAATCAATCAACTATAATTGATTGTCTTTTTGGTGGTTTGTTTAACCCCTTAACTCCCAAGATCTGAATTTTAATTCTCCCTTCTACCTGCTGGGCATTTCCTTGTAAATTAGTAAGGAGAATTTGGTGTCACATCAAGCTGTCAACTTCTACCTGATAAGTTTGAGTATTCTCCTTATTTGTTTGCTGGATAATGTAGGGATATTATAGAGAGAAGTTACATGATAATCACCTCTGGGAGTTCAAAGGTCAGTAGGAGAACTAGGCCAAACCAATGATAACATCTGCATGTATGTGTCCTCCCAACTAAGAGTTTTTAGGGTTCCTTAATTTCCACCACTGATTTGGTATATGAAGTAATTCCCAATCCCAAAACAATACCCATGAACATTTTTACAATCCTATTTTAATATATTTTAAGGTACTTCATTTCCCTCCAACTGTCTACGATCATGTTGTGCAAGACTTAAAGAAAGATCTTGTGCTGGTTTTAAATAAGGTATGTAACATCTTATGCATTATCAATGTAATGTATTCTCCATAAATAACAACAAGGCTATACAACAGAGATCTTTCGGATTCAAGCCTGCTTAATTTATGTCCTTGGACTTTCACTTAATCTCACTGTCTAAGCTTGCAAAATTCTGGCTTAGGCTTTCATCTGGTCAGTTTACTCTGTTTTGGACCCTGCTCATGAACCTAGGATAAACACACCTGCCTAATAACCTCCCTGGCGTAGATGAGAATGTATTACTGTCCTCACTAGATCTTCTCATAAATTATTGTATCGTAAAATAGTTGTAGGTGCCATCTTCTAAAAAACTGCGTGATAATTTAAGGCTATATTTTCAAATTGAAACTATTCATGGTAAATTGACAGATTTTTCACAGGATTTTCATGGTTAAATCAATGGCATTTCAAGGTCTTAGTGCCAAGACAAAAATCCCATGAAAAACCTGTGAAAATTGTAATATTCACAACCCAGGAAATATTTTGTAGGGTGACCTAGCCCATTTTCATGGGCATTTCATGGCCTTTTCAAAGGTACTGAAAAACCCATGAATTTCATGTCAAAGAAAAAAAAGTATGGTTTTAAAATTCTCTATTCTAAGAGTTTTTAATGGGTTGCAGTAAATCATGACCCATGAATATCCTGTGAATATGTGAAAAATTCATTGACCATGAAAATTTACCATGAATTTTCATGGCCTCTCCATGTTACTTTCATGGCACGTGAAAGTTAACTGCCAATTAGTTTTCATGGGGTTGTTAGGAACATGCAAGCACCTTGAAAATTCCTTGGAAATCCTATGAATTTGGAATGAAAAAGTCTTCACTTAATTGGTACCCAAGACTATACTACATTGTATAGCTGTGTATACATCTATCTATATGTATATATACTTGCAATATGCCATAGCTGTGATACATACACTATCACTTTGATCTTACATCAAAGAACTAAAATTTCTGTGAAATGTTTTGCTACTGTGGTACAGGCACACACGCACAAAAGACATGAACAGAAGTGTGGATTCTCTAATAATTTATTTTGTTTCACCAGTTGTACATAATGTTATTTTTGGATTCCAAAATTGTCATGATCCAGTTCTTACTTTCTTAAATCAAAAAAGTTGGTAAGCAATTTTCCCCATAAGATTAAGCTGTTAACAATTGTTAGCTCTATTTTGATGTCACTGATTTTCCTTTTGCTCCTATATATCTTCACACCCTTTTACTCTTATTTGAACAATTAGGGCTGTACATTAAAAATATCTCTGTAAATTAAAACTATTTTAATTGTACATCATAACTGAATTTGATGTGACACAAATTTGTACGAAATTATGGAAAATATAAAATTATTCACTAATTAGTGAAAAATATAGCAGGCAATAATCACATTTGAGGAGATTGTAATGATTATTAATCTTGGTAATAGTAATTAATTTATAAAAAGTTATGTCACAGGCTAAATTAGTCAGTATTTTAAGATTTCTTGTACTTTTTACGTTAACACAGGCCACTTGGATAGTTTTTTAGTGATATTTTCATATGACAATTATCTGGTGCTGTACACCAAGTCAGTTCCACGGGTTACAAAAGTCATCTCATTGATAAATTAGTGATCATGGTGAACTCATCAATACTACTTTTATCAGGAAATTTATGGGCCACAACATCATTGTACCCGTGTATGGATTTCAGTGAATGTTCATGGCCCATTAATTTTGTTCTCCCGAAGCGAATGCGTTGTTAGCCTATGAAAATAATGCCATTTGACTGCAGTTCATGGGGCACCAAACTTTCTGGGGAAACTAATGGGTCATGAAAGTAGAATATAAAGAAAGTCACAAGTCATAAAATTTATTCTGGTAACTTTCAGGGGAAACTGAATTAATTTGTCATGAAAGTAGCCTTCAAAGAAATTCATAGGTCATGAAAAAAAAAATGCCCCTAATTCATAGAAAAATTGAGGGCTTTAAATAACCCAATGAACTTTGATTTTGCAGTAGTCATGGGCAATGAAATGATGTTCATGGAGTTTTCACAAGGAATTTGTGGAATGTTTATTAAACTACAGTTCATAGTGATATATTGCTGTTTTTTTTTTTTTGCTGCAGATAGATCTTGTTCCTCCAGAAGTAGTAACAGCTTGGAAGCATTACTTCACATCCAAGTTTGAACATCTCAGGGTTGTATGCTTTACATCATTTCCTAAAGATGAGAATGAACGTAATAAAGACCCAAGCAAAGGTACAAGTATTTAACTTTGTAAAAGCATAAGTTATATAATTAAAATTATCAAATATTCCATTAGCTCAAGAAGCAAAGTTCACCTTGATTTTAACTTCCATTGATTTTTAGTTACATATTGGATTGTTTTCAACTCCAGTTTTATCCAAGCGCCGTCGTCGTAAAAGATGTTTCTTTCCTGTTGGACCAAGGGCTCTCCTAGAGGCTTGTGAAAACTTGCGTGGAGTTAAAAGTAGGTTTGACATGATTAAGTTAACTGTAAGTCAGTTTTTGCACAAGTGTGGTAACACTTTCCAAAGTTGTTAAACTGTTGACCTGAAATTCTGAGTCTAAATCAGCATTGTTTCAAGACAAACAAATTGACAAAATGTTAAAAAAATCATAGTCAAGCAAGTTTGAAATATGTTTTTGATATGTTGGCAATAAGCGGGTGCAACTGAAATGAAAACAGGATGGTGTACAACAGTGCGAAAGGAAATCTAAAAGGAAAAAATTAACACTCGTGTTACTATAATCAGCAGTGAAAAACTGAATGACAATGGATGGAAACAAAGCTTTGAGAAAGTTTCCAAAAATATATATAAATGTGAGCTACATCTCATGGTCTTTTTCCTTTTAATTATTTGATCTATCACCATTGATTTAGTTGACCTTAGCAGCTGGGCCAGAAAACTCAGTGAACAAGAAAAAGGAGAAGAGGAAGGCATTATTTATGACGACTACGGTAGCTCTGAGGAGTCTGAAGGTACGCTTGCTCTGCTCCAAAACCGTTCATTCAGTGAAAATTGAAAAGTCATTCAATTCACAATGGTACTGTGGAATGATCACCAAAGAACGAATACGGCACACCGTCTGAGCTTATACCTGTTTCCTTAGCATTTAGCAGCTAGCAGAGAGTAGTTTATTTTACCGTGATGACGGTCTGCGCTGTTTGCCCCTTTTCTTAATTAAGTTCCCATTAAACGTAACAGCCCGCCTATCTCCATTTATACTTCAGGGCCCAATTTTTCAAAGGGCGGATAACACTCTTCAACGGATAAATCGATATCTAGCAGCAAAGTCTTAAGACCACGAGCAATCCCACATGTCTCTGAAAATTAGTTAAGCTATGGATAATACTCTTGCGCGTTATACGTCTCCATCAAGGGGACATGATACTTCAGAGAGCGTCCTGTTTTGGAAGACACAAAATTTAAGAGTGCTTGAGTGCTTTTTCTAACCTTTACTATTCTAGTGCGAGGCGAGGTGTTGGGAATTGCCTCCAAGACTGAACCAACACACTCACATAAATCTCAATTTCTTCTCGTTTATTATCAATAACTGAACGCTAACAACGAAATCAACAACAACTCCCCTCGCTATCACTGTTGAAAGTCTCCGCTCCGCTCACGTGTTCTGCTACATCTTTTATCACTGTCAATCATTGGTTTTGGGTGTGTCATTTGACAGTTTCTCAAGTCACATTATTTATGATCAAACATAGCGAAAATCACGCAAAGGGTAACAAACGACTAATCACAATATTACGCACAATTTCGGACAGAGGAACAAATTTTAGTGTAGTAAGTGGATAAATTCCTTTTTTCGTCTCGACAGAAGAGGAAGGTAGTAGTTTTGAAGACGTCGAGCATAACGAAGATATCCTAACGTTGGGTCTCATAGGTAGGTGAAGTCGTGTTGCGGAAAGTACTTACCAAAGAAATGTTCATTGCATTGGCCGCGCCTGGCTCGTGCGTTGCCCAAAGTTGCTTGAAACAAATACAGAGCTATCGTGTTCGAGTTAAATTGCTCTAATAACGCGTTCATTAAAATCTTATTTGATCTTATTTCAGGTCATCCAAATGTCGGAAAATCCTCCCTTCTAAATGGTCTAATCGGACACAAGGTTTGTAGCTAATTTCGACTCGTTGTTCTCTCCTTTCTGTAAACATTACTTTTGAGCCATTTTTTGACGAGTGCGATTTCGCTATCCGCTCTGACGAAGAGCTAATTCTCGAAACGTCAGCTCTTTATGGTGGTCAATTTATATTTATTTATCAACTCAGTTGATAAAACCAAATTATCTATTTCATTAAAAGCCGGTCATCGTTGTTCTACCGCTGCCTTTAAGAATGCTCACCACTGTCTATTTAGCCTGCAGGGTCTCTTTTTTGGGTTTGTCCTTGCGTTATTAAAACTGACCCCTGTAAGAGTCTTGGTGCGGAACCCTTAAACTCCCAAGAACTGACTGTCAATTCTCCCCTCCAGCTGATACACATTTTCTTGTAAACAAGTTACGAGAATTTGGTGTTAGACCAAGGTAACAAGTTCTACCTGATGAGTTTGAGTATTCCCATTACTTGTTTACGGTGTATTGCATGGATATTATGGGAGAAGTGACATGTTAATCACTTCTTGGAGTTAAAGAGTTCACGTTGTGGAACCCACGTCCTCTGAACACTTTTGAATGCCATTTTACATCTTTTTCCCAACAGGTTGTGAGTACCTCTCGCACGCCTGGCCACACCAAACACTTTCAGACTATATTTCTAACGCCTAACGTCAGACTCTGTGACTGTCCTGGATTGGTGTTTCCTTCTGTCGTCGGTAAACAGCTTCAGGTACGCTCAGCTGTAGCTTTCCTATGTTGTGGTAACTTTGGTCGTGCGTTTCTTGCCCCAAATGAATATAAAAAGCGCTCTCATTGGTAGCTTATGGCAAATTTTCTTCAATTAAGTTGCGAATATTATCATGATTACCTCTGCGTGGTTTTGAAAGGATAGGGAAACAATTCTGTACAGCTTAATACGTTAAATTTCATAAATGAAAACAAGTTTTGATTGGGTTGTCGACTCCATTTTATTTGAACCAAGGCTCGTTCGTACTTCACACTGTTATGTTTTTTTGTTTGGAAAAAGTAAGTGTTTTGACCATGATAGGGTCTTTTAATTCAACAATTAACTGATGTTGACGAGACAACTCTCTCTAGTTCTTGTGCAGCCATTTCAAGATCAAAGGAACAAACAAGGACATCATGTTCGACAGTCATGCCTTAGCCGTCTGTAATCCTCCTTGTTTTAATGCTGTTACCGTGTGCCGTATTTTCTTGCCCTTAGATCTTGTCAGGAATGTATCCCATCTCACAAGTTCAAGAGCCGTACACCTCTGTAGGTTATTTAGCTGCCAGGGTACCCCTGGTTGATCTGCTGCAGCTGGTCCACCCCGCAACTAGAGATGACTCTGACGGAGAAGGAGGGACGAAAGAGGAAAGCCATCCTTGGTCAGCATGGGACGTCTGTGACGGTGAGATGAACACTCTCAAGATCTAACCTGCTTCTGCTCGGCTCACAGAGTTTTACCGTTTAACCCTGTACACCCTTACATCAGTATGCATATTCTCCATACTGTTCTCTATACATTTCCTAAGGTGCTAACAAGGAGAATTTACTTAACAATTAAGAGGTACTTTGATTGGTGATCTTTTTCTCTATTCTCATGGCCTTAATGTGTGATTCAGGGTTGATATTGTAAGGAGAAATTAGATGCTGGTCACTCTTAAAGGTTTAAGGATTAATAACATTTCTGAAGGTGACTCTAATTCTCTAACGGTGCACTTTGTTTGGTGATTCTTTCAGCCTGGGCCGATAAAAGAGGTTTTCTAACAGCAAAAGCAGGCCGCCCCGATGTGTATCGAGCAGGTATTTTGCGTTGCTAACATCACGGAGAAAAGATTCGGGATGAACATTTGTAACTAGATTTTTTTGCATGTAGGCGCCTTGTTTTAGAGAGAAAATCGGACAAACAGAGCTTGCCAAGAATTTCTGAAGCATCTTAGTGGCTTTGTGTAGCCGACGGAAGCTAAAAGTTAAGAATTCTTTACCCTGCAGCTCCTCACAGATTTTTAGTCAAACGTTTAGTTTAAACTGTTAAAATAAATGGTTGACAGCAAAGCGCTCGAGGAGAAGTTGCTTTCTCTTCCTGGCGGCTCAAAATCCTCTGTGGTGATCATAAAGTTGAAAATTCTGATTCGCTTATAAACTCTCGCCTTTCCCCGACGTCAGGTTGTAGTTTTAGTAATACTCTTAAAAAGTCTGCGGTTAGTTTCATAAAAAAAGATCCACTGTAATTCTTAACTTTGCACCGTCTGGATTATTTTCTGTACTTTATTTCCTAGCAAACAGTCTCTTAAGACTGGCTGTAGATGGCAAGATTGTGATGTGTGTTTATCCACCAGGCTTCATTAATAGAAAAGGTAAGTAAATCGAAATAGTTTCTCCAATGAGTTCCGTGGCAATGATATGACATTGATAAGCAATAGCTGGTTACAGTTTACCAGTGAAGGCGGTTGGCTTTATAGAGTAGATGAAATTTAAGGTGAAAGTAGAAAACGAGCTTGTAAACCTGGCGCTAGCACTCTTTAACATAACTCTTGCGACAGATGTGGGAAATGACGGACGAATTTAACCGGGGTGTAGTCAAACTAGTAACAAAGATGTCGCAGGGGGCCAGTCAGAACAAAAACGGAAACTGCGAAAAAAACGTGCGTGACCACGTCATGCTTCATCAGGTTTTGCCTCTGATTGGCTGAAAGTGTGAAGTAAGCTTCATAGACCAACTTAGGTGTGTAGAAAGGCGAAACCAATTTAAACGCGGGTTACTTTTGACCTTCAGTGGGAAACTGTTACAGAGATATTTTGTGTAAATTTATGCAGGCACGGAAAGGCTCAGCAGCTAAGGCGAGTTACATGATTCCGTGCGCGGGAAAACTTGAATTTAGCAGTTAAGGCGAGTAAGCTGTGTCCAAGCACTGTGAGAACTTATTTACTGTATGAAGGGCGGAAAAATAGCCTAAGTTGTCCCTATTGCTTTTGGTGTTGTACCTTTATCTTGAATCTTCCTCTTTTTTTGCCATGGCTCAACAGGTGAATGGCAGCAACATCTTGAAACAAGAGAGATTACTCTTCTACAAGAAAGACACTCAGAGAGCAAACGGCTGCGACTTCAAGAAAACGAAGTGGACGAACTGTCATCGCATCTGCTCGCCCCTCCTGGAAGGGGCAAGGGAGATGAGAGACCAAGTAGTGATGGAGATGACGAACAGGAGGGGGAGGAAAGTGAGATCACGTCCTCTAACCCGTTTGCACTTCTGTCAGACGAGTGAAGGGTTAAACGAAGGAAATCGTGCCACCGTTATTACGAAGTGTAAATTGAATGCGCACTCGAGGAGTGACGTGAGATGATTTGCAGTGAAGCACATCACACTCAATTCATGAAGCCACTTTTGGCTTTTTCGTTGCTTGAAGCCGCTGTCAAAAGTATGGAGATGAAAGAGAAACATATCAAACACTGGGAAACAGACACAACGGATGTCTAAGGCCTAGTTTATACGTCGCGCTACAGTCGAATTTAATTCAGACGAATTTAATTCAAGGTCCCACAAGCAATTAAATTCGGCGATAGCGCGACGTTTAAAAAGAATTAAATTCGTCAGGTAAATTAAATTCGTCCTTGACGTTTTATCCGTCTTGGTAAGACGGATAAAATATCGATAACGCGTCTTCAGCTTTAACGTCGCACTAGCGTCGCGTCGAATGAAATGCATACATTTTCTTAATGTATTTCAATTTATTTCTGCTTGTTTCAAAATGACACCTCTGACCAGAGGCACTGCATTTGGGAAGAGAATTGAATTCGATCGTATATATTTCGACGTATAAAACCACGCCACGATTTACGTCAACGGAACGACGAATTTAATGGAATTAAATTCGACTGTAGCGCGACGTATAAACTAGGCCTTATAATTCTCTAAACTGAAAAAAATTTCACTAAAATGTAACACGGAAAACTCATTACCGTATATGAACACTGGTTTGTGGGATAACTGTCGGAATCATTTAAAACATTTACATTGGTTATCTGTAGCGGGTAAAAATTCTCGCCAGGTTGTGTTGCATTTGCGTTAAAAACACCAAAGCTCTCGCTCAGTATCTTTTTTTTTTCAGCCGCATTTGGACTGGAATAAAGATTAGGAATGTCTAATGTTATTGTAATGATCATATAATGGTAATGATGTATTTATAGAGCGCAGTCTCCATACGGTTACCTCTTTTAATATGCGCTACAACACTTTGCGGGGAACTTTGCGAGACTGCAAGAAATTATGCGGGTGTCCCCAATTTTAGAACTTTTTGAAACAAGGCCAGACTACAACACCGGGAGATATGTTCCCTACTCTTTGTGAAAAGCAGGTGGGTTCTTAAACGTCCTTACTAAACCAGGGAAGAAGAGATCCAGGGGCCTACGGTTTATTGTTCTTATCCGAAATGTAACATCACAAAGTCATCGGGTTTGAGTGAGGGAAAGCGTGTGTGACGAGATAGGGAATGAGTTCGGTTCTGCATCTGCTCGACTTACATTAGTAGCGCATTGATTTTCAGCCATTGTTAAGGGAGTGGTGTAAATTAATCAAGGGTAGCAAGAAATTAAAAATTTAATAGGATTGAAAATTGTCCGTTTTGATTCATTTGAAAGCTAACAAAAATGAAATCAGCTTTTCCCTTGAAAATGAAATCTTTACATTGCAGCGCCATAGTTCAATTTTTAAACGTCGTTGATAACATGATCTACTAATTTACAAGAGATGATTATTAGTTTCATAATTGGTCTTAGGTTACAATTTACTCCTGTGTGTGCGTCCACAGATGAATTTTTTGCAATGTACAGTAAATATGCGTAAAAGTTAACTATGTACCAATAAAAAAAAGATCAAAAATATATTTTGACTCTGGTTCGGATTTGACTAATCGGCATTCAACACTAATGGAGCGACTAATTACAAAAGCTATCTTAAAATAATTTGGTTTTATTAGCTAGGTTGAAATTGTAAATTGGCGACCTTAAAGAGTTTTAAACAGGCTTTACAGAAGAGTGGTCATGAAAAAAATAAAAATGAAAAACGCCAATTTATGCCATCATTGACCACTCAATGTGCAAACACTCACTCAAAAATACTGCCAACATTGATTTCGTGAGAGCAACATGCATTACAATTCACTTGACTGTTCTTAGTTTTACGTACGTGGTTCAATAAAGTAGACAATACAAACAGGCCGTTGCGACTCACCTAAAGGTGAGCGCTTTTAATAGAGGTGAGCGCTCAATTAGACTAGGTTTATGCTAGAGGAGAGTTTTCCGGATTCGTAAATGTTTCCGGATTCATCAATTTTGGAGTATTCGGATTCGTAGGCGTTTACACTGAAAGGATATTCAGATTCCTGACCGTTTACACACAACGACAGCTCCGGGAACATTCGAAATGGAATGGTTACCAAGCCAAGTGTTATTTCGTCGTTCTATCGACGAAGTGAAAATGCCTCCCCCAAAAAAGGCTAGAGTAGATCCAGATGCCACTGAGGCAAATTTGAGTTGGACAGATGCCAAGCAGTCTACGTCGTCGGCGATTAAGTGTGGCTGACGTTAAACTTCCTTGCAATAATAATTTGCGTTTCTTCAGAAATACTGCGGTACACATGATAAAATTTATCGCCTGAACCTGCAACAAGATTAGGCAACCGGAGACCGCCAGCAATGTTAGCACCAGATCCATTTTGGTTTCACCGCAAACTCAAAAGATTGCAGGTGGAAATAATATCCCCAGGAAATAATATCCGGATTCGAGAAAAAAAGCGGTTACACGACAAAACTTTCCGGATTCAAAGTTCCCACTTTAAATTCCGGATTCAAAATCTCCGGAGACACGACCAAACCGGGAAGTTTTTATTTCGGATTCGTCCACTTTCATGTAAACGGCAGAATCAATCCGGTACTAAAACGTTTCGGATTCATCACGAAGCCGGAACAATTTCCTCTAGTGTAAACCTAGTCTTAGAGGTGAAAATTGCAGTGATTGACAAAACAAATTTGGGATTTTCACAAACAACCACGAATACACGGTGACGATGCCGCTTCATGGGGCGTGTTTGAGCAAAAGGACTCGTAAGAATAATACAGACTTATAGGGGTATCAGGTAAGTTTTGGGGTGACACAAACAGAATTTTCCAACCAATTTCCCCCCAGGTTCGCAATCCGTTTTCATCGAATAGACAACAATTACAGCCAATAATGACCTTTATTTAATTGACAACAAAATTTGTTACAGCCAATCGCAAAGTTTTAAATTGAGATGTTGGTAGTTCGTGGTTTAGTTAAAAGTTCCTATTAAAGAAACTGGCGAAAAAGACCTTTCTTGTGAGCATGGAGACATGACTTGGAATCTGCTTGTTACCATTACCTGTCGCTTTTCTGATCATTTCTTGATTCACTTTAGTCAGCATTGTCATTAGGTCGTCCGCGTGTGAATTCTCCCGCAGAACTCTCATTAATGTGGAGATGAACCAGGAGCCAAGACTTTCACTGGGTGGTGCACACGCCGCTGACATTGTGAACCTTCTGTAAGACTTGTAACCCGGGGTAGTAGAATAGCTAATCAAAAAATCTGCATCAGAAGGCAGTGTTAGAGACCTTCCCTCACAATGAGCGCTATCGGCAAACACATTGTCGTCGACTAGCCCACAGGTTACAGGGTACCCTTTGTCATCAACTTCGCCTCTGCATGCTTGAATGAAGAATAGTTTGGGTTTTCCTGCGAGCTGTGGACACGATTCATTGTTGCCACGAAATTTGGAGGTTATCTCATCAACTGAAATAGTTTCACCGTTGCTGCACCTGATTCCTTTCTCATCGCCGTGACTCATGATGATGCATATGAGACCGTCATGTTTACCTGCAATAAGGTGATTGAATAGGAATTAAATTTCTAACAGCTGTTATAATGTGAATGAAAAAATATGCGCTTCTGATTGGCTGAAAGCGAGTGTATTCTTCATGTGACACGAACGCAAGGTGTTAAAATTACAAATAGCACCTGCATGCTGTTAAAATTTCATTTGTTTTGACTCTCTGTGATTATTATGAACAAGATAAAACATGATTTATCGTGTAATTTGGTGAAATAAACGCTTGTAAAATTTTCAAATACTACAAATTGCACTCGCCTTACGGGTTCGTGCACTTTTGTTTCTCTTTGAAAAAGTTACTCGCACTTATTAACTCCATATTGCATTCGAAATCATGTCCCCTACTTTTGATAGAGGGCATGCGCTTTAATTAAAACATCGGACAGTTAACCTCGTACAGTTAATTTCCTTTCGTCACGCAACACTTTCTCGCTGCCTGGAAGAGAACATGTTGCGTGACAAAAGCAAACGAAGGCTAGGTAGCAGGTAAGAAATCGGTGTGAGGCCACTTACCTAATTCACTTCTTTTTCGAGTTTCGTCAAGAATATCCACCATCTTGTGTTTTGGCAGATCGTAATCCTTTCTCACAGATGTGAAACCAGCTTCCCTAAAAAACGTTTCCACGTTTTCAAGATCGTGTTCAGCTCCATTCCTTGGTACCGGGTCTTTTATAAAGTTTACGTTATTTATCACTAACACATAAGGATTTCGCAATCCTTCGTAGGCTTGATCGTCTGGCAGCTGGTCCCTTACACGAGGAAACTTTCGACTCGTAGGTGCCATTTGAGGGACTGTTGTTACATAGCTTGACTCAGATGCGTCATAAACGCCTGTATACACAAAAACAAACACGTTAAGATCTGTTTCATTATTTACGAAGAATGTGAAGTTTTGCTTTAATCATAAATAGCCTCTCCAAGGTGCCTTGAAACTAGAAGGCCGGTGATGATTGAAGATGAGAACAACGTACGTTTCTGAAATTTAGGTCAAGAACTCCTCCAGTCGTGGAGCAAAGTAACTTTGTGTGTATTCATTCGTTGAGACTAGACACGTCGCTCGAATGTTTATTTTGATTAGTTTGAGTGTGATCTAATATACTTCTTGCACGGATAGGTGCAAAAACCCATCCGATCTTAGGACTAAAAATCAAGGACCGTTCCATCATGAATCTTGATTGGAACTTAAAACTTACCACAACTGGCGATTTCCTCCTGGAGCTCTTCGCTCACACCGATACCCGAATAGTTGACTAGATAGTTGCCCATTGTTCTGTAGTTTCATTCACCAACGAATACTGACTATCAAGCGTCGGTGAAGTTTCATCCTTAAGAAGCGACGCTTCTTACGTAAATCCAAAGACGGAAGTTTTTGCCAACCGGTATTCCAAACGCATTCTTCCTTTTTGGGCTATCTACTGTTGATCAAAATTATTTTGTTAAACAATTTACGTAGTTGCTGCCGTAGAATCTGAAAATAACTATATGGTATAGTGAATAGCCATCATAGCTTTCATTTGTAATCCTTCAGTTTTTCTCACAAAATTGCATTTTTTTTGTCTAAAAATTCGTATCTTGAACGGGATTATGATAACCTCAGACGTATTTTACTGTTATTTGGCGAGTCGATAGTGTTTGATTCTGTGTTATTTTTAACAAATACACATGGCTCACTTCGCTTGAGGGAATTTCGGTTTCAACTTGAATGAGTATTAAGTCGCACCGTCTTTTTTCTAGCCCTTTCACATACTTCGAATTTCTTTTTTCATAGAATAACCACCTACGAGTTTAAAAAAAAATTCATCAAATTTTGAGGGTGGTAATTCGCCTACTAGAAAACGATAAAATTGCAAGACCACCCGAGTCCGATAAAATGAAATAATAATGAATAAAGATGCAAAATTAGAATATTTATTCTGTATTAGGAAACACGATTATTACTGTCATGTAACGATGACAAATCTGTTCAACGCCATATTTGATGGTACCAAGAATGTAACGATATACGTAATATTTGAGTCCCATAAATACTATTTGAGGCGCTGTTAAGTCTTCCATCCGTGAATAACTATTTTAAAATAGTTCGCTCTGACAAAGGGTCAACGCTCGAAACGTCAGCTTTTTAAAGTGATCAACCTGTACTGAAAGTGCGCGGCTTACCTCGTATCAGTGAACACGGTTTTGATTGTATTTACTGGTAGTTTGGAAATTAAAGTATCGAATGCCAAAATTGGGAACCGGAACCGGAACCGGAACCGGAATACTCGGAATACCCGGAATTCCCGGAATGACCGAAAAATAATACATTTTAAAAAGATAAAAGTAAATTAAGAAATAAATAAGAATATTGATGATTAAAAATTAATGGTAAATTCCCAACTTAATTAAATAATTTAATACGAAATTTTTCTCTGAGGGTCCCAAAAAGAAAACACCTACCGGCACTGTTCATGGAGATACACGTATTAGAATTAAAAAAAAGTCTGCGTCAGGCCAGTAGCCCATGCAGCCTAAGCGACGAAATATTCGTACTCTCCCTTCCCCCAAGGTGGGATGCTAATCCATCACATGGTTTCTCCCCGTTTTAAATTCGCCTCCACCCATTTACACACCTGTAGGATGTCTAGGGCGCCATGACCATTGGGCCGCCACGCTTTTCCAGCCGGAACCATTGCAGAAGATTAAACAAATGCAATATTTCCAATTGGTTTAATAGTTCAATCGTAAAAAGCTCCGAACTATTATAAATTAATACTCTACCTTAAATAATTATTAACCACACATTGGGAGCTATCAAAGCAACTACCATTAAGACGAGCCGTCTACAGTGAAAATTGAGAGATTGTCAGTTACTCGACACCTATTCGCTTTTATTATAAATACCTTAAACATATGAATATAAACCTTGTTTAGAAGAATCCTGTTGTGTGACTGCTATTTATCATAGCAGTCACACATCAGGAAAACACTGAGACGTCTGATTCCTCAACATTTCTCAAAAGCGAATTAAATGTTGTTAAAGCATTTTATTCAGCTAAGCACGACTGATTTTCTTCATTGAAACATTGTCGGCCTTTCTGATGTTTCTTCTTCTCCCTTAACAAGAAAAAAAGCCAACTTGTGTCTTTTGAACTATTTACTATCTTCATGTAAGAGATAAATACCGATCTAAAATTAATGAAATAAGTAAGAGATAAATACTGAAAACGGAGGTATTAATCCATATACATCCCGAGGGCCGAAGGGCCGAGGGATGTAGATGGATTAATACCGACATTCGAGGTATTTATCTGACTTATTTAATGATATTATTCATGAGGGATCTCTATAGAACGATCCTTTCCTCAAGGGGCCAAACACCGACTAATTAGTACGGTTACACCTTCGTCGGATCAAAGCAGATACGATGAAAGCAACCTGATATGTGCATTTCACGCAGGACTGTGAAAAGTTGTTGCGAGTTCCTCCGTGACAAGCGTTAGACTTTTTTGTACTTTGATATTTTGGCGAGTCCACAAGGGACTTAGCATTGCATTTTCTTTGTTTTTTGTTTACGTGTTCTATTGTTTGATATTTTGTTTTTGTTCTTGTTTCCTAGTTTTTCGGTAAACGTGTACAAATGTTTTTCAACGACTCATTTCTCTGTTTTTGCGCTGTCATTATGGACGGCATGTATAGCGACGAGAAGCTTTTTCTACTCAAAATAGTTTTTCGGAAGAAATATTACAATAAAATTTCAGTATTGTTAATATTCACAATTTCAGTTTGTTAATATTCACCAGGGTTGTAAATTAAAGAAAGCTTGTTGAATAACAAAAGAAATGGTGTGAATCATGAAATAAATAGATAGATAAATTTAGTACAATTTCAGAGCTGAGCAAAGAGTTTCCAGCAATCTGATTGGTCGAGCGGTTCCTTATATGACGCTATATAAACCGCTCCACGCGGTTTATATTAAATGTTAAAATAAAATGTTATGATTTTAGAAATTTCTCTGTTGCTCAAATCTGAAATTATATTAAAATAATTATTCGCCTCAGGTTCGGTGACTAATTGTTAAATGTTATATAACTAACTACAGGCAGTATATATAGTGTTTCGGGCATCTGGGCCTCATCAGTACTATACGTATGCTATGATGGAGGTAAAGCCATATAGCCACCCCAAATGATTCCACATTTGTGGTACCATCTTGGCCATGCCAGAGTGCTCAAACAAGTAGTGAGCATTATAAATATAAATGTACATATGTGTACAAATTTACCGCCAAGCCTCTTATGCAAATTTATAAAGTATATAAACGATGGTTACGAATATTCTTATCAATAATATCCCCCGATGAGTGAGCAATGACGAAACAGGCTTGTAGGGATGAAAGCGTAGTGTTTGCATTTTTCTACGCTCTACTTTTATATATCGAGTGCTGTTACGCCGCAAATTGTAATAATCGCCGCAAAATGTAATACTGACGCAAAATGTAATAACAATCGCTGCAAAATGTAATACTAGCGAAAAATGTGATAACAGCGCCGCAAAATGTAATAAATCACTTAACGTAAACTGTATCAACCAGTTTCAACGCGAAATGTAATAACTTTTCTAACGCATTATGTAACAACGCAAAATGTAATAACTTCATTCAAGGATCGTCGAAAAACACAAAATGTGATTCAAAGTTTTTAATGCTTTTTTGTTATATCCCAAGAACATTCCGGTCATGAGAAACCGTTGCGTTTTTAATCAAACTAATTAAAGTTCGAACGCGGTGATAAGTCCAGTTTTTACAGCCTCCCTGTGCGTTTCTACCCTTGAAGCACGCAAAAAGTGGATTGACCGAAATTTTCTAAGTTACAGACGGAAAGCAGTCAATGTGTTTAAAAATCTCTGTTTTTACTAAAGTGCCGAAACACACGGCGAAATTGTCAAAGCCTTGTAGGAGTAAGCTTTACATTGCATGCTGGGAAAAGGTCGGCCATCTTGAATAAATTAACCTCGTGCTAGTTTGTGTTTACTCGAAGTCTCCTTTCTTCTTCGCCTGATACTACGAGCTTGACATGTTCATGCTCCAAACGTGAATTGGTTAGACGATAAAATATGACAGATTGTTTCGAAACACTTGAATGTTTGGGCGTGTTAAATTCACATAAAAGTTTTTTGCACACGGAAGCTCGAAAAATCATTTTGTAACAAGTTTCCTGGACATGAATTCGGATTGTCTAACAGCCCTTTGCAAAATAGTGATCTACCTCCAGAATTGACAGTCTATAATAAAATTAATGAACTTGAAAAACTTAAAAAGCGATACCACGAAAGATTTCGTGGGCAGAACGTACTGCTTTTCGATGAGGTTGTCAGAGGGTGTTACGAAAACGAGGACCCTCGAAAACCGTCTAAGACCTAAGACCTAAGACCCGTCTTAGTTTTCGAGATTACGAAAACTAAGATACCCTAAAACCGAATTCGTCGAAGTATAAAGTCAAATTGTAACCAAAATAGGTTCAATCAGTCAAATTATCTCCTGTCCGATCCTTTCCACCGTGTTTTAGGTCAAATTTAACCGTAAATTTAGGGGTCTTAGTTTCGTAATTTCGAAAACTAAGGCCCGGTTCAAACGTCGAACTTTACATGTGCCGAACCCAATACCTATTTGGGTCGACCCAAATAATTAAGTTCGACAGTTGATTCAGACGTCAAACCTAATGCAGTCGAACCTAAATGCCGACCAACAATATAAAACCATTTACGGTCAGCGGTTACTGATATGAACCCAAGAGGATTCAACATGGCGGAGTTTTCGGAAAATCGCGCGAGAAACAACTCGGAAGAATTTCTCATCGTTAATGCCCGTCCGCGAAGGAAGAGGAAGGCGCCTTAACATGCAAATGGCGTTAAACCACCTAGTTGCTCAGAGGAGGAGAGTTTTGAATGCTTGTTTTCTTGTTTTGTTGTTTATTTCATCGCAACAAAACAACATCACTCCTGTGTCTCGCTCCTGTCGTCGGTTGAGCAGAAACACTGGATGTTGGGAGAATGCTTGAAACAATTATTCGGAGGCAAGATTCAAGAAAACATTTCGGATTTCTCGGTCAACGCTCAGATACATGCATATTAAATGGCATTGGCCCATTTCTTGCAAGAGAAACAGTGACAGAAGATCCAATTTCCCCAGAACTGAGGCTAGCGCTTTCTTTATATGCTACTAAACTGCCTATTTTCCAGCCCCTTACAGTTTCATCGATTCATCGATCTCGAAGACAGAACAGGGCATACACAAGTATTCTTTGCACCTCAAACAAGTATATTTTGTATTCTTTAGGCACGAAGAACAAGATTGTTCCTCTTTCCCCGCCATTTTTTTCCAATGTAATCTTATGCGCATGGCAACTACCTAAAAACTAGTGGGATTGTGGGAAAAAATTACTGATTTAATATATTCATAATGTGTGCATTAAGCTCGGCACATGTGAAGATCGACGTATGAATCGAAGTCGATCTTTTGCCGTTCTGTTCGACAAGCTCAGTCGAATAGAACGGCAGAGTCGACCCTAATATAAGAGCGTCGATCCTAATTGATTCAAACGTCGAACTTTAAAATTACATGTGCCGAATCTAATTATTAGGTTCGGCACATGTAAAGTTCGACGTTTGAACCGGGCCTTAGACCCCTCTTAGTTTGCGTAATTACGAAAACTAAGACCCCCACCAAACCATTCAGTAAAATTTCTACAAAGTCGAATTACGACAGTTCAAAGACTGCACTATAATCCGTAAAACAATCAAAAACTACTAGGGGTGGCGAATGGTAAATGCGAGACTTTGCCGGCGAGACGTACGGTGAGACTAGCGTTTTTCTTTGCGAGTCATTCAAGAGCTATTACATTTTGTGTTATGACATAATGCGTTACTGAAGTTATTACATTTTGCGTTGAAAAGTTATTACATTTTGTGTTATATGATTTATTACATTTTGCGTCGATGTTATTACATTTTGCGTTAGTATTACATTTTGCGGCGATGGTTATTACATTTTGCGTCAGTATTACATTTTGCCGCGATCAATATATTTTGCAGCGATCATTATATTTTGCGGCGATCATTATATTTTGCGGCGATCATTATATTTTGCGTCAGTATTACATTTTGCGGCGATCATTATATTTTGCGGCGTAACAAGCACTGTTACACGGAAAAATCAAAACGCAGACTTCCTTATAGATATATGTATATATTGCTTATATATTTACAATGACGTTCGTGTTTCTTTATACAGAATAGACAGTATTCTAATTTTATATTTTTGTATCCCATTATATCATGCGGTATCGGCTACTTCCTCACATGTGTATCTCATTATATAAATTTGTTTTTTAATCCAGTGGCCCGCCTTTACCTGATCGTTTCCTCGTGGGCGACCTACCGCCCACAAAAGTTAATACGGATCATTTCAATCCATTATTGGTTATTCTTAAGATATTAATAAGCAAATTCGAAATAATTGAAACGATTAAAAGTCAGAGCTGCTTGATACTCCTTGAAATCGAAATTCTGTCTAGCAATGTGAACTATGTGTATTTGCTAAAAATAACGCGAAATTATGTGTGGGAGTCAAACAATATGGACTCGCCAAATAACGATCAAATACGTCTGAGGTTATCACGTTGGGGCCGAAGCTATAAGAAACAACGTACAATTTTCAGAGAAAAAAACTGAAAAACAAGTAATGATGGTTTTAAACTGTAGTATATGGTTATTTTCAGATTCGACGGCAGCAGCGACGTAAATTGTTTAATACAGAATAGACAACATTCTGATACTGTATTTTTGTCTAATACGCACCCTTATTTTTAACCTAATTTATCAGAAAAAAAAAAGTTTTTCACGGCAAAAAAGACAAGTTAAATATTCGTACAATTATTTATTAAGACAACAAGAATAAGAAATTTACTATATCGTTAACATCAATATCTTTTGCTACTTAGTTATTTATGACATTATTGAAATCAAACTTTAGGACTTCAAGCGAGGCCTAGCTAATTTGACGATCCCATGGCCCGGTAAATATTACAAGTAAGTAACAATATGTCCGAAGAGTATTGAAGATTTTGTGTCATACTGATCGTCGTATTTTTAGAATTTTTAAAAGAACGCGATGCAATTTTCTGGCCGTAAAGTCAAGTAAACAACAATATAACCACGGTGAATTCCACGTGCACTTTGTACACGTAAGAAATTCGCGTGTTTTTCGCTTATTACAGCAAATCAAGAACTGCTTCAAATAAAGCTCTTGTCCTGAAATATTTCTTCTCACTTTCTTCTTGCTTCTCACTGAAAAGTCCATTTAACACGAGATCTCTTGAAACGCGGCAAAATTTGCACACTTGCGAAAATATTTAGCGATTTTTGTCTTTCCTCTTGATTTTTGAGTAAAAACTTTCTTTGCACCTATAACTTTTCATTGGAAATAAGTTTAATCAAAGCTTTAAATGTGTTCCTTTTCTTGTTGTGTTTTTAACGTATGCAAATTGGAACGTGCGTGAAAAACAATGGAATACATTACGTGTATTTTACGCACCGCGATTTTTGATGGTTATTTTTGAAGAAAAAAAGTGCGTATTATACACGGGTAGATACGGTATATATTTTTTACTCCAGCGGTCCGTCTTTATTTGATCGTTTCCTCGTAATTGCGACCCACCGCCCACCAAAGTTAATACGAATAATTTGAATGCATTATTGGTTAGTCTAAAGATATTAATAAACAGATTCAAAATAAATGAAACGGTTAAAAGTCATAGCGACGTGATGCTCGTTCAAGTTGAAACCGAAATTCTGTCTAGTAATGTGAACTATATATGTGTATTTGCTAAGAAAAACACGAAATCATGTGTGGGAGAATCAAACAATATGGACTCGCCTGATAACCGTGCCGATCAAATACACCCGAGGTTATCACGCTGGGAAAAATACAAACTATAAGAAACAATGTACAATTATCGGAGAAAAAAGTGAAAAACAAGCAATGATGGTTACAAACTGTAGTTATTTTCAGATTCTACGGCAGCAACGACGTAAATTGCTCAACAAAATAATTTTGATCATCAGTAGATAGCCCAAAAAGGAAGAATACGTTTGGTTGGCAAAAACTTCCGTCTTTGGATTTACGTAAGAAGCGTCGCTTCTTAAGGATGAAACTTCACCGACGCTCAATAGTCAGTATTCGTTGGTGAATGAAACTACAGAACAATGGGCAACTATCTAGTCAACTATTCGGGTATCGGTGTGAGCGAAGAGCTCCAGGAGGAAATCGCCAGTTGTGGTAAGTTTTAAGTTCCAATCAAGATTCATGATGGAACGGTCCTTGATTTTTAGTCCTAAGATCGGATGGGTTTTTGCACCTATCCGTGCAAGAAGTATATTAGATCACACTCAAACTAATCAAAATAAACATTCGAGCGACGTGTCTAGTCTCAACGAATGAATACACACAAAGTTACTTTGCTCCACGACTGGAGGAGTTCTTGACCTAAATTTCAGAAACGTACGTTGTTCTCATCTTCAATCATCACCGGCCTTCTAGTTTCAAGGCACCTTGGAGAGGCTANCTCAGTGAAAGTCTTGGCTCCTGGTTCATCTCCACATTAATGAGAGTTCTGCGGGAGAATTCACACGCGGACGACCTAATGACAATGCTGACTAAAGTGAATCAAGAAATGATCAGAAAAGCGACAGGTAATGGTAGCAAGCAGATTCCAAGCCATGTCTCCATGCTCACAAGAAAGGTCTTTTTCGCCAGTTTCTTTAATAAGAACTTTTAATTTAACCAAGAACAACAAGCATCTCATTAATATCTCTGTTGTAAATTTCCTTGTTAGTTAAATAAAGATAATTTTCTAGCTGTAAGTGTTGTCTATTCGATGAATACAGGTTAGGTTGTTTCTGCTAATTTCCAAAAACACCACTCTAAATTCTCTATTTCCTCTACGAATTTTTCAGTTACATCCGCATATAGAATTCGAAACTTCGGAGAATTTGAAAGTAAGCGAGGCCAAAAACTGCCATGGTATACGTTCATGGGTGTTTAGAACACAGTACTTTCGATTGAGTCCTGTTTAATCAAAACAGTACTTTAACAGCGAATCAGAACAAAGGAAAGTGGCACAAACAGCCAAAGCAAGCACCAAGTGAAAACAGTTAAAGCGCGGGAAAACGCCGGTAACTAATTCGCGGTTGATTTCAGTTTTGACTGATTTGAATGGCTGGGAGAGTAAATCTAGGGATATATTTGACACGCAAATGAAATTGAAGAGAGCTCGAGATCAGGCCTAATTTGTGACTATTTCTCAAACATTTCTCATGAACTTACGGCACTCTCATTGAAAGTCTCTGGAATGACTTGAATGCTACGTATTCCGACTCCCAAAGGTCTGTATAAGGTATTTAGATCGTTTCACGATGAGCAACCCTAGATTGGCGTCAAATGCCAAATGGACCTGGACGTTTATGAACGCCTCTGCTCCATTTAGGGCTTTGGTTCTCCTTTAATTGTTCCTGATTTTCTACAAGTTTGCAATTGCTCTGAATAAAGGAAGAAACTTATGAACCAAATTCAGAGTAGCATGAGTTTTAGCTTTATTCCACCCGTCCAGAAAAGAAAGCTGGCTTACAGTAATCAATGTGTTTCAGTTGATACTTCAGAGGGAACCGAGCCTGTGCATATATACGCGACACGTAATTCTTAGGGCACTCGCGGGCGTTCGAGGGCACTCGCGGGCGTTCGAGGACGCTCGAGGCGAAAAAACTCTCTCCTTTCCCTTCCTCCTCCGGCATCGGCCTAAAAGGAAGGGAATCGATTCCCCCTGTGATGCCAGAACAATAATACACTGCCAGCCTTTTCTTGTTAAAATTTTTATTAACATTAACAGAATAGCTGACTGATAATGATCCTTTTGGGAATATAAAATAAATGTTTTGAATTAAACTTGCACAACTGTCGATAAGATATTAGTTACTTTCTCCAACAATCTTCAGTTTTAACCAAAATTCTTTGATACACATATTGCATAAACGCGGTAAGTAATGTCTTTAGGCGGTTAGGGCTTTCATAGGCGTTGCGTTCTGAGTGCTGTACCCAAATGTCATTCCATAACGGAACTTCTCACCTGAAAACCAAATAGAAAGTGAGACGTTTGGTTAATCTTGGAGGGAAGGAATCTGCCATTAATCTTGTACCCAGATCTCTCACTGACGAGGAGGGCTTTGCCAGGAAAGAGATCTAGGTACGAATTTAATCCGCCAATCGGAAGAAGAGTACCTTCGATTATTGCGTATGAAACCCCACGCATCAAGAATTCTTTACAACACGGACAAATAAGCTAAATTCAAAATTGAGGAGATTTCTGAAGTTTTACTCCTTCCTTTTTACTTACGCAACCTTTCTAGTAAGTTGAGAAAGATGATGTTTTCTTAGTGTAATAAATGGCAGAGCCGCAAACACAATTCCCCTTTATTCGCAAAAAGTGTACCTTGATAGGCTTGCTTTTAAAAATCGACACAATATTTGGCTAAACAGCAAGATGGAAGGGGAAGCAATCTTGTACGACTTGAAGCCATGGAGTTACACAAAGCCTTAGTAAATTCCGTTTCCGAGGGAACCTGTTTAAGAGAGTGAGCAATTTACCTGGCACATGTCCAGTGTAATGAGGAACTTGACCCGAACCTCGGATGTAAATCGGCTTGGTGTCGACGAGTTTGATCTCGGGTCGATTGACAGTTATCGGAAGCTCCTTGACCCGCTTCAGCCTGTCACTTTCAACCGCAAAATCACACAGCGCTTTATTCGTCAACGATGGATAGCCCATTCCCATTTCGCCCCTGGCTCGGGGAACGAATCCCGTGTATCCCGACATGAGGAATTTCTTCGGGTCGTCGTTACTCATAATGAATGGAGAGAGCGAATGCTGTAGAGCAAATGGGGAATAATACGCCTTAGGGCGAATAGTTATTGACTTGAGAGGAGTCTGGTACTTGGTCGTAATCAGGGTATCACTGGAGATCAGTTCTTTGGGAACGTCTTTGCCTTTTTGTAGCTCTGCGATTGTCCTAAGGTCGCGGATCTTCTGATGATTTTTCACTTGGTCTTCTTGGAAACTTGCAATAGCGCTTAGACATGTGTCTGCGTAAGGCTTTCCAAAGTAATGCTCTCCTTTTGGTATATAGCCTTATAAACGAAAAAGGGTAAAGGTAAATTCTGTAATAGCTTTGCATATTTTCAAATGGGATAGGGATTTTTCCTTTGCGTATCGGGATTTGGGGCGAAATACATGTCCCTCACGGGTTGGGTACGGGGCCCAATAAAACATACAACCATCTGCAACTTGCTATCAGACCACTTTTCTCATTTGAAAAAGGGAACACTTGGAGGCATATCAAGTAACATCAACCGCGCACGTTTGTTAAAATTTTGTGGCACCGCTCTATATTTTCATTTAGCATATACAGTGGATAACCCTCGAGGCACGTTCTGATTAGCTACTCAAACTTCGAATATTCTTTGCTGTTCACCTCCGAGCAACGCGCACAAGAAGCGGCGCTCGAAATTATTGTAATCGTTGGCGGAATGAGTTAGTCATCTCTTTGTGCTTTATCATCGCAATATTCAAGCTAATGCTAAAAGACCTGTCCACCCAAGTGTCGGTGTATATTTACCTCTCCACTTACGTGGCTCGGTAAATTCCACCACCAGCCACCGACAGAGCTGAATAACGTAGACACACGCGCTAGGTTTTGGTGCGGAAAACGGATTTTGAGACGTTCTCAAGGTTACTTTTCTATTCTGTTCCTTAGAGGTGTTGTTTTCCTTACCGCTTTCCTTTTGCAGAACAACTTCCAAAAACCTTGTACACCCCCCGAAAAAATTTCGAAAATTAACTTTCTCCTTAAAAAACTTTGACATGGGAAAATGCCTTCGACTGCAATAAAATGCCTTGGTTTTAAATACCAGCTCCTTATCATTTTCGGCGGCAAATTTCGCTAAATTTCAAACCTCGCACGTGCGCTTGAACCCGCATTGTGACCGCATACCTTTGACGTTATTCAACTTTGTCCTAGCCACCGTCACCTCGGTAAATAGTTGTTAAATATGCTCGAGTCATTTATGGCCGCAGCCTCATGTCTCTGGCTGGATTCTTTAATTCCTTCTCGAGAAAAGGGATAGAAATGAGGAAACTGAAAGCAGAAACGGTACCTTGCACCGACACACTTCATTTACATGCCTATTGTATTAAATTTTGATACACCCGTGAAGGTTAAACCTTTGGTAAAATTCAGTTTTTATTTCGTTTTTTTTTTTTTTTTTTTTTTTTTACCAAGAGCTATACTTTTGAACATCTGCTCATTTTAGTGGGCAAATATCATCGCAGATAAACCGGTCAGTAATTTTTTTTTTTGCTGGAGTACTTGTTCAAAAGTAAAAAAGAAACATTCGTGAAAGAAATTGTTTGAGCCTCACCGGTTATTAGCTTTTCTGTAGTGCCTAGACTGGCAGATGTTCCAGCGGCATATCATAGTTAGACAAACAAAGATAACGCAATATTCAGCGATCTGATGGGCAACGCATACATTACATAAATTTTAGAGCTCATGAAATCGAGACTTGTCTGCTCCCTTGGTTACAACTGTAAACTATTCATCGCAAGAGTCACACAACAGGGAAACACTGGGACGTCTGAATCTTATTTATCTCTTAAAAGCGAATTAAATAATTTCAAACCACTTCATCCAGCTCCAACATGATTCAATTTTTTATTGAAACATCGTCGGTCTTTTTTATGTTTCTGGTCCTCTCTTAACTTGAATAAAGCGTTTGCTACTCTTGTGTTTGTGTCTGTCACCATTGAATTCTTTTGATCTATTTTCTGTTGTTTATAGAGGAACGCAGGAAAGTTGTTTTAGGATTCGTAATGAAACAGTATTATATTCTAATATCTTTTTGACAAGTCCCTCTACAGACAGGGTTTTGTTTTCCTCTGTTTAGCAAAGCTAACCGCAAGAAAACTTTTATGACACTCGTTTGTGTACCAAGGATTATAAAATACGATTAGATAATCGTTTCAAAACAGGGCGCTAAGATATGTTTAAGAGCTAAAAGGAAGAAAAAACATTGTTCCTAGTTCTTACCTGTATAGTTCGGCACCATTTCATCGCACAATTTCTGATCCCCGAGATTTTTGCAACGCGCAGCTATCAAAGATCTCCTGTTGTCCTTCGGCGGTCGAGGATGTGGAGTAATGTCGGACAGTACAGGCCTGCCAGAGCAAGCCACACTTGATGTTGTCAAAAGCTGAGAGGTTGTTCTTCCGAAAGTTTCGCCAATTTGGTACTTGAATTGTGGGCAATAACCGCAATAACTGTGGAAGCAAAGCAATCATGAAAGCATAAATGCTTGCTGGCGAAAATGATGCTAGTATTCCATTTGAAAGCATTTGTGAGGAGCAAGCGATTTGGTTAGCGCGCGCCTGAGTAAAAAATCCTGCCCGATGTTACTTACCCAGGTATATGGTACGGATCCGGAGTCATAAGGGTAGATTTTCTGGTTCCTCTCATTTTTGCTCGCTGTCTAGATTCAACCCCGATAAAAGCGTGATCTTAGAAAGGCATAATCTACTAAAGCACTAAGATTCAACTGGATAGACAATTGACTAATAATACATTATACTTAATTATCCGTGTGACTTCATTAACAATAAAACCAGAAGGCCGCGCGAGCCCATGGGAATTAAAACACAAATACTTATTCGTTTGAATGCAAATTTTTAAGCCTAAAAGGCGTTCTCTTTTATTTCCAATTAGAGGTTTTCATGGTGAGCTATTGTTCTATCAAGACAATTGCTTTGTTCTTTTGATGTCAAGTCACCCAGATGGCAACACGCGAGATACAAATATGTAAATATGCATAGGAAACTCAACAGTGATTATCACTGATCACGCAGAAAAACTTGTCATCGGTTCGCTGCAGTGAATTCTTTTGCGAATATTAAAAGAAATTTCATTACCTGGCTCGGGAAATTGCACGCGGAATCTGATATTGGTTTTTAACGCGGAATTCACTAGTCATGTAATGAATTTTCCTTGAATAGAAATAATAAAAAAAGAAAACAGCAATAATATTGTTTGTTTTTTATTCTAGCCTCGTTTTTAACTCGCAGTTCCAACGTCATACCTCGCTTCGTTAACCAATAAGAATGCAAGATTTTATTCGGTTATGCGATTCTAGAAAGAATTTGTCGAAGTATCGACGGTATAATATTGCTTTCTTTTTTCCAGTGGTGACTGTGCATTATAGGTCGGTGGCAACAGTGACAAGCACGCGTTCCTCCTGACCTGCGGGCGTCACCATAGTAACGAGCATTCGTTGTATCGGGAATTTCTAAAGTTGGCGAAGTTTTCCCGAAGAGTCAGGCGAAGATTCGTCATCTTCGGGCGAAAAAACGCGCGAGACTTCGAAGCATGCGTAAGACAATCACCAGTTGGTTTACAGTGGGTTGTCATTATGAGAATTGAGAATGTAACGAGCGTGAATTCTCGTTACGGGGGTAACTTTCGTGGAAGATTATAAATTTTGTTTTTTTTGGAAAACGTTAAAGAAGGTCACATAAAGTAGCTTCTTGTGTGAAGTTGGTGGCCATGGCTGCTGCGAGCTTGTCGCTAAACGCGCCTATGTGCTACAATCATCCTGAGAAGCGAGCGGATTTCAAGTGTTTTGATTGCAAATATGGTAAGGTCACCTCCTAAAATTTCACACTGTTTGCTTATTTGGAAAGATTTGTATTCCAAACCAGTGATCTGTTCTTGTATCAGTGCAAATCATGCATGTAAGCATGTTTTGGTGCAGGAAACACATGGTAAACATGTTGATTTTGTCCAAGGTGAATGCACGTGATTTGCACCCGGTAAAGATTAAAATGACAGCTAAAATGAGTACAATACTAAATGTGGTTAAACAAAAAAACAAACAAACAAACAAAAAAATCAACAAAAAACAGTTAGACTTACTAAAATTAATATCTTGGTGCGTAGAAATTAAGCATCAACACTAGAAAGGAATTCAGACTTGCAGTAGATCTAGGCACCAACACTCAAAAAAGAACCAGGTCTGCTGGATATGTACCATGACGCTGTACCTGAATAAGAATGAACGAGGTCAACAGACCAACACTTTTGTTTTGTGTGGCTCAAATTTTTGCATCATATTTCAATAGACATGTGCAACTGCTGCAAATGTCAATGTATATGTGGCATATTAAACACATCGAATACATACAAGATTCATAAATTATATCCGAACTGTGGCATATTGTTTCCTACTCCTGTAACTGTGGCCAAAATATCCTTTGGATTTTCTAATCCTTAAGAGGCACAGCGCTCAGGTCAATACTTATCTTGTGGTTATCAAAATCTGAATGGGTAATGACACAAACAATGTGGAAAAGTAAAATCCGAATCTGTCTCATTGCTGATCTGGGACTTGACTTTTGCTGTTCATGCATGGATTAATTTTTATTCTTTTAAACCTGATTCTTTAATCTGTAAACAATTGCAAGTTTTTTTTGAAGCAGGATCAGCTAATGAAACTAAGCACAAGTTGTACTGTATATTTTATGCCACTGGTTCATAGTTAACATGAAACCAAGAGACACTTTTTTGACAACAGTTACATTTATGATTTCTTTTTTTATCTTACAGATAGAATTATCTGTCTGTGCCCTCAGTGTAATATTCAAGTGCATAGCCTGGATGTTTTCAAGGCACACAGATATGAACAAATAGAAGTCTTGGTAAAACATCCAAATTTTTATTATACTTGTAGTTACACCTGCATTAAGGTCTGCTGCATTAAGCTGCCACTCTGTATAAAGCAGTTGTGTAAATGTCCCAAAATTTTTACTTTTAAGTACTGTAATTTTCACTTCTATTACGTGTTCGTGGTCACCCTTGACCGAGTCCAAATGGCCTGTTTGTATTGTCTTCCACCTCTATTGAATTGACACTTAAAGCCAAACTACTCAGACAGAATTAAGAATAATCTCAATTAAAATTTATTCCATGTTTAGGACAAACATTACAGACAAACATCATGCAAGTCATTAGCTGGTCAACCTGTACTAAGGGGTCACCCCATCATTCCCCATGGTGACAGCTTGTATAGATTGGGCTGTAATTATGGGTTATTGGAGACATACAGTATGTAGCTTTTCTATTTTCCAGTTCGAGAAATCTGGTGATCCAGTGTTTCATTTGCCAGATTCCCTGGGTTAAGATATATACGAGTAAACCAGACTAAGTGTGAACTCTGATTTCAGATTTGAAAGCTTTCAAAAAAAAAAAAAAAAAACTCAGTATAATTCTTTTCGTTTATAACTTGATGGTTGGATTCTTTAAAACCAATGGAGAAAAATTACCCTAAAAGGCTTCTGAGTAAAGGAATAAAGAAACCTGGATGAATTAGGATTAGACATTACACTTTCACTGTACTATTTCCACTTACAGTGCCACTCAGACATACATTAACTGTGCAGACTCATTTCATAGGCTCAGATGCAGGGCAGTCAGACGTGCATATACGATTTACATGAGTTCCATTGACAAAAAAATTGTGGGACCGATGTGTCTTCGATACTCAGTACCATAAGTTTTCTTTGTGTAACGTTGTTGTGTAAATCAAAGAACTTTTGAATTTGAAAAAGCAACAAGTCTATGACGGAAAATTTTCGTTATGAAAAATGCTATCATGTTACACACACTCATGTTGTGTTGCTTTGTGGATTTATCAAATGATGAGCATTAGCAGAAGATTTGCTTGATTTGAGCTGTTGATGAATCAGAAGGAAAAGTAAAGTGTCACATATACAGAAAGAATAGGATGAATACAGTGGTGCATATAACAGTTAATGTCAGCCAATTCTGGTAAACACTAATGTTGGGGTGTGGATGACTCTGATTCATCCAAAGGAGAGCATCATTCCCCCTCTTTGCATTACACTAGAGAAACTAATTTAGCTTTAAAAGCCTGGTTCATACATGTGTTGTGAATGTAAATGCAAGCAAGTTCACATTTCACAAAGAAAGGGAGACATGCAAGTGCATTGGAAGTATTTTTCAAAGATTGCCAACAATGATTTAGCCTCTGCCATAGAGTTTGCTACAATATATTTATTATTCATTTTCAATTGCACAGCTCTGAAGAGAAAATTTATGCTTTAATTGTTTACTGAATGGTTTGAAAGCCGTTTTATCAATATAGAGATGCTGTTTACGTTTAGATGCTTTTGTAAAAAATACTGTCTCTTGGGCCCACTTCTCTGGTTACATCTTTCCTGGGAAGACTCTTTTCTTTGATTTTCCTTTAAATTTTGGAGAACTTCTGTCAAAAAGTACAGGAAATTTGTCATTACTTTCCACAAGTTTTTCTTTGGGAATGAAGGAAGACATCAACACCATTTTATTTTGAAGTTTACCATGGTGGAATGGAACCAATGGAACCTGTGTTTTTCATCTTGCATTTAAAGCATTTCCATAGTTCACATCTGTGGGGATTGAATGCAAACACAAGTGCAAGCTTAAGTAAATGAAAATTTCTTCCTTTTTTGTGTTGACGCTTGCATTTGCATTTGCATTGGGTAATTGTAACACTTGTAAATCCTTGCATTTGCACTTGCATTTGTATTGTATGTGTGAACCAGGCTTAAGTAGTATTTAAGTTTGTCATTAGTGAGGATATGGAAGATACACTACTTGGGTCTTGAATGCAAATATATTTCTAGTTCTTTCACCAAATATGCTCTCTACATATACTATCACAGTGATCATAGAAATGATAGGTGTGTAATTTCTTCCACAGGGGAAACAACGGCGATTGTCACAAGATGTCCAAGACATTGAAAAGTATGTATTTGTTGTCCTTGCAAAAAGCTTAAGGTGCAACAGTAAATGAAAATCTAGTATTGATTATTTTGATATGCCTGTATCTATGAAATTCTGGATTCCCTGGTGAAAATCCTGTTCAGGATCTTGTGCAAGATCTTGATAGGATCCTTACTAGGATCTTGCCTGAAATCCTATTCAGGATCTTATACAAGATCCTGTAGGATCCTGTAGGATCCTATAGGATCCTGTAGGATCTTGTACAAGATCCTATAGGATCCTGTAGGATCTTGTACAAGTTCAAAGGTATGATAAAAAGTTCAAGTGTATGATAAAAACATGGTGTAATAGTCACGAAAAATACCGAATATTATTAAAAATAGGAACTTTATTTAAAACAAACTCACTCCACTAGAATACACAGAAAATAATATAAATTACAATTAAGGTTAACAATTTATCTGCTGTGACTTTAGTCTTTAATGTTCCTGTTGTCGGATTCTTGTAATTTCTCCTTCCATTTTTACAATCAGCGCAATCACACGGATTAGGCTTCAAAGATTTCTTGTAATAAAATCTTACAAATGCCAAAAAAGCTTCCATGACATGCGCTCGTAATTTTTCTTTATCTATTTCCTTTAGTCCTGCTATGTAATCTTTTGTGTGATTCTTGACCTGTTTTAAATCATCTTTGTCAGCATGGAATTCCCCTACATCTAGCAAATCATCCTAGGCGGTGGAGGCCATTTTGGTGTTGTGTATGAAGTCAGGATTAATAATTGATCTTCTTCCAAGGTTATAATCTTAAGACTTACCTTCACCTTTTTTTAAATTCGGTTAAAACAATAATTCCACAAGGTCGCGGTAATAGCAAGTATGGTAGACATTGTAAGAAATATACAACTTTTTTGAAAGACATGTTTTGGCATGCATATGCCATCTTCAGTTAATGAGTAACTGAGTATGAACAATTATATAGCATACAATAGATGAATAAATTATTTACAATATGATGTAATACAAAAGCGGGTACTAATTACAATGTGACATCAAACATCAAAGGTGTAGACTAAAATGCTAGGAAAGTGTTATAATGCTGTAATCCTATGTAGGATCCTATATATATCTAGGATCCTATTCTTGACCAGGATCCTGATCAGGATATAGTGATCCTAAATAGGATCCTATATATATCCAGGATCCTGATCAGGATAGCGATCCTTAATAGGATCTTATATATATCCAGGTTCCTGATCAGGATAGTGATCCTACATAGGATCCTATAGATGTCCAAGATCCTATTCTTTCCCAGGATCCTGATCAGGATATAGTGATCCTTCATAGGATCCTATATATATCCAGGATCCTATTCTTGCGCAGGATCCTGATCAGGATAATGATCCTACATAGGATCCTATAGATGTCCAGGATCCTATTCTTCCCCAGGATCCTGATCAGAATATAGTGATCCTACACAGGATCCTATATATAATCCAGGATCCTATTCTTGCCTAGGATCCTGATCAGGATAATGATCCTACACAGGATCCTCTATATATCCAGGATATCATTCTTGCCCAGGATCCTGATCAGGCCAGTGATCGTACATAGGATCCTATTTATCTCTAAGATCCTACTTAGGATCCTATTCAGAATTTGTTATCCTTCTAGGATCCTAGTCAGGATTTAAATCCTATACAGGATCCTAGTTAGGATCCTGTTCCTATTCAAGATCCTATAGGATCCTGCAGGATCCTGCAGGATCCTGGCCAGGATTTTCACCAGGGTTTGTTCCTGGCATAATGACCATGTCATTTATGAGTTCACATGTGAACATATTGTCATGGTATTTGGGTTTATCAGTGTGGCAGTTTTACTTCAAAAAGGTTTTTTTTTTTAAGTTTTGAACATGTCTAAGTTTTACAATAAATCTACTTTTTTATTTTGAGAAAAAAATCATTGTTTGTCCAATGAAGATGGAGAACTTTATGTTTCATGACATGCTACATTTTGTGTTTTCAAACAGGTTACTTGAGGTGGAGAATGAATTGCTCCAAAGTGTGCTGACAAGGTTAAAGTACACAGAAGAAGAAGAGAAGGTATAATTTTATTTATTACACGACTCGGGCTGTCAGAGGGCCAATAACTAAAATCAACCAATAAAAATGCTCTATTGCCGGTCAATATTCTCTCAGTATTGGACCGGGCACTGTCCTGAATGGTCCCGAATGATACTGCACTTGTGTCCCTTTGAACTTCAGTCGTATAATAAATCTCTTATTAACCAAGCTTGCTCGGGACCGCACTGGAAGAATATCGGCCCTCGGTCCGTACTGTCAAGACCTCGGGCCAATATTCTCCCAGTACGGCCCTCGCGCTTGGTTAATAAGATATATTTATCTTTCTGCCAAGTTTGGAAAAGATAAGGCTACCTAATAATTGAAAGAAAAATTAAGGTGATTCTGAACTGTAATTAATTTTGCTTGCAGCAAACCTTAAACCAGTTGGTGCAAATGCAATTAGCCACCAAAAGGAGAGTTGCAGAAATCAAAGGTTGTACAGGAGCAGTTGAAAAAGCTTTTCAGTATCTGGCAAAAGTAGGAAAACATTTACTGTTATTATGATTGTTTTCTTTGCAAGACTGTCACTTGAGTATACATGTTAGATTCTTGAGAAAGATGTTTTTTTGTCTTGTCATGAGTGTGGGACAAAGAAAAAAAAAATATAAGAATGTTCTCTCTGCAAGACTGGCACTTGAGTATACCTGTTAGATTCTTGAAAAATATGATTTTTTTTGTCTTGTTATGAGTGCAATAAAGATTTAGAAATGCAAAGACTAGCAAAAACTAACGATAAAAACCGACGCTTCGGTGTCATCATGACGCCATTGTCAAGGGGAAATAAAAAATGAAGTTTATGAGTGCAATAAAGATTTAGAAATGCAAAGACTAGCAAAAACTAACGATAAAAACCGACGCTTCGGTGTCATCATGACGCCATTGTCAAGGGGAAATAAAAAATGAAGTTTGTGGCAAGGTGTAACACTAAATTAGCATAAATATGTTACGAGCTAATTAAACAAATACTTTTGCGCGAATTGAATCACTTTGCACGTTCAGAGTGGGTTTTAAGTCCCTGATGAGAAGCATTTCGTTCACCAAACAATCGAACTTGTTACTACACTTTTTCAGAATGCTAAAACGTTTCAGTAGGTCTTTCGGGACTTCGCTGTGCCGTTCGTGGTAGTGTTTATATATTGAAGATGCCTTTCGTTTATGTCGATCCACGCGTGTGTGTAAGTGTCCGCGTGTATAGCCCACATAACCCGCATCACACAGGTCACATTGAAATTGATAAACGACACGTTGTTGGTTGACAATCTGTGGCTTGATTTCTTGTACTTTAAGATCTTGGCCAACTTTGCGGCTAACAAATACTGGCTGGACAGTTGTCTGCACCTTCATGCTAAGATTCTTGAGCTCTTTCTTAACATAATTTGCTGATTCCTGATCTTTGAAAGGTATGACCACACGGACAATGGATATTGGTTCTTTGGGCGTCTGTGTGGGCTGCGTACCAACAATTCTTGATTGTAAGGTGTTAATGGTAGAATTTACCAGGTGTTCCGGGTATTTAAGCCGTGCGAAAACTTTCTTTAGGCGATCACACTCATCAGAGAAATCACACTTTGGTCAAATTCACCGTGGAGGTGGAGAAGAACAGCAAGCTTCCTTTCCTTGGCACCGAACTAATCAACCATGCACGTCGGATTGAAACCAAGGTATATGTGAAACCAACAAACACGGGCCTACTATTACACTACCAAAGCCATGTAGACAATTGCTACAAACGGAGCTTGCTGAAAACTATGCTGGATTGCGCACACCGATTATCTTCCTCCTGGGCCCATTTCTCTGATGAGTGTGATCGCCTAAAGAAAGTTTTCGCACGGCTTAAATACCCGGAACGCCTGGTAAATTCTACCATTAACACCTTCTTACAATCAAGAATTGTTGGTACGCAGCCCACACAGACGCCCAAAGGACCAATATCCATTGTTCGTGTGGTCATACCTTTCAAAGATCAGGAATCAGCAAATTATGTTAAGAAAGAGCTCAAGAATCTTAGCATGAAGGTGCAGACAACTGTCCAGCCAGTATTTGTTAGCCGCAAAGTTGGCCAAGATCTTAAAGTACGAGAAATCAAGCCACAGATTGTCAACCAACAACGCGTCGTTTATCAATTTCAATGTGACCTGTGTGATGCGGGTTATGTGGGCTATACACGCGGACACTTACACACACGCGTGGATGGACATAAACGAAAGGCATCTTCAATATATAAACACTACCATGAACGGCACAGCGAAGTCCCAAAAGACCTACTGAAACGTTTTAGCATTCTGAAAAAGTGTAGTAACAGTTCGATTGTTTGGTGAACGAAATGCTTCTCATCAGGGACTTAAAACCCACTCTGAACGTGCAAAGCGATTCAATTCGCGCAAAAGTATTTGTTTAATTAGCTCGTAACATATTTATGCTAATTTAGTGTTACACCTTGCTACAAACTTCATTTTTTATTTCTCCTTGACAATGGCGTCATGATGACACCGAAACATCGGTTTTTATCGTTAGTTTTTGCTAGTCTTTGCAGTTATGAGTGTAAGACAAGAAAAAAAATATGAGTCTCCATGAGGATTAAAACCTCAAACCTTTGGAATTGGCGTTCTGATGCTCTAGCACTGAGCCGCAGAGACTCTATGATGGTCAAGCAAGGATTGGCAACGTTCATAACATCGTGTTTGGTAAAAAGATTTGGTCGATAGATTCTTGTTAGGCATGTAGGTAAATACAGTAAGTCAAAAATAATCTGGTGAATATATTTGTGGATGGGAAGAAAGGCTTGCAAAAAAAAATGGAAGAGTTGACAGTTTGTAGTAATAGACAGCTTTTATTTATCAATTTACTTATTATTTTTTTTTTTTCTGTATGGTGTTTAGTCATTTGGGAATGCACTGTTGAGTTTATTTTTGTCCCAATTTGCACATTTGCATTTTTTAGGTGTCCAACATGCTGATACAATGTAGTACTCCAGATAAAGAAAGTAGCAGTGAACTTGATCAAGCTGTTGCAGATACAAATGCTACAGTGACTATAAAGCAACCAGACAGCTCTGAGTCAGATTCCTTCCAACAGCCAACCTCTGTCCCTGCCCAGGACACACTACCTGGCAATGAAGAGCAAGAGGTGCCTGAGGAACCTAAAGTTCAACTCAGTAAGGAGATGGAAGGTACAGTTGACTTAAAATTGTTTGTTATTTTTAGTTTTAAAACATCAGAGAGAGAGAGACTTAACTAAGAGATGGTGGAATAATTTTAATCGGTTTTATTGACTTTCCAAAGGCAAAGAGGTCTTCCCTGTCAGCGTAATTGGATCACTGGCAAGGAATGGATCCTTCTGGATTTCCAAGACAGGAGAACCAGCAATAGAAATGAGAAAGGAGATTGTAATGGCCATAAAGTATGACTACTTCCTTGACCCTTTTGAATCCAAAGAGTGACTAGTATCTAATTTCTCCTTTTATTATCATCCCTGAATCAAACTTTGAGGTTGTGAGAATAAAGGAAATGATAACCAACTGTAGAAGCTCTTGATTTCTAAACAGATTCTTATTGTCAGTGCTGTTGGAAATGTGTGGAAAACAGTATGGTCACTTTTAAAACAAGTTTTACAAGAGATGTCAAAACGCCTCTAAACCAGTGTATCATATGAATGAACAAGTTTATCTCATCTTTTTTACTAAGAGCACAAGGTTCTACCATGATTTTGATTTTAAAGGGAGGCTTTTATGGTATCAGACAAAACATTTAAAAATGGACAACTATTAATAAATTCTATGCAGTTTTATCTTTCTGTAACATGCATAATTCTCAATAACTGTCAACTGAATTGGTATGAGGAAACACAATTCTTAAGTTAAATACCCGGTAAAGTATAGTTCAGCTTGTGCACTTGTGGAGAATAGGTCTTTGCTAGTATTGCTCATGACAAGGAGCATTTGTTTTTCTTCTAGTAACCATTATAAAAAGCATGGCTTTGGAAACCCTGTTGTGCCAAAAGTAGGTACATTTTGTGCAGCTCTTAACAGACAGAGCAAGGAGTTCTGCCGTACCAGGGTTGAAAGTGTACCGTCCTCTGAAAAGGTAAATGCATTATGTCGTTCAAACATCATTGACATTTTATAATTTCCAAGATTTTAACCATTGTTTATCTCACCACGAAGTGATTGAAATTAGTAATAAATTATGATGGGTGCAGTGAGGCATGATGATCTCTAATAGCCTTGAAGTACAGAATTATATCTCATTGATATTATGTTTGAATGATGGCAAGGCCAGCTCAAATTCATCTCAATATTTTTATTTTTCTGGAAATTGAATTTTGACTTTTTATTACCAATAACTTAATCTATTACATGACCCATTGCTAATCACAGTTTCCCTTTATGGGATTAGATCACTCTAATGGTTTTGGAGAGTCTTGTCTTTACATGCTTGGATGGGACTGCATGTGACAGATGAATTGGTTGCTTGAGTCACATTCTTAGGAATGTCTGATTTAAGACTTAATATACTTTGAAAGGTACAATATGTTGAATGTACATTTTTTTTTATTCCTTTTTCAGTGTAAGATCCGGTTTCTCGACTATGGATTTGTTGAGGAATCTGTGCCTTCATTTCTTTGTGAACTTTCATCTGATCTGGATGAGAAATTTATCCCATATCAGGTAAAGTCAGGCTATGTATTGTGGTGGAAACATTTTTAAAGTGATTTAATGAGTCTCGCTCTATCAGTCATTTAGATAGTAAATTTAATTTTGAACTGCTCTGCATCCAGAAGACAGAGGTAAACCACATGCTTTGTTCATTTTTCTTTCTCTTTTTTTTTTTAGGCATTTCAAGCTTGCCTTTTATCAAATTTGGATACTCAATTGCCCTATGAGGTAATGAGAATTTTTGTTAACAATGTAGGCACCAACTTTGAGTAGCCATAACAAAGTAATTGGTTATATCAATTAAGTTCAAATTGTAAATTGGCCACCTTAACTAATAAAAAAGCTGACATTCAGCTTTTTTATTCGTTACTGTGGCCAATTTACAATTTCAACTCAGTTGATATAACCAATTATCTTGTTACCCCTACCGACACAGTACGGTCACAGTTTCTTTAGAAACTTTCAGCTTTTAACCATAAGATAGGCAGATAAGCCACACTGGATGATAAGCAGCCCCCTGAGTTTGGCAACTCAAATTTTGGAAGGAAAGTTTTTGACTAGCCCTAATAAGACACCTGCGCTGCAGGCTAACTTGGAGAATCCCTTGGGGGTTTGTTTGGAAGTGAAATGGAAAATCAAAGCAAACACATTTATTCCAACATGGAGAACTGTAAACTCACGGTAAATGACAACAACTGTTAAACAAACCGCCACTCGATAAACCAAAAACCTCTCAACTCTTCTCTAAGAAAATTGCACTTGTCAATGATAAAAAAGGTTTGTGTGATTCGCCTATGATATTATTAACCTATGTAATCCCAAAGCACGTGCATGTGAGTCGCACGCGCACAAGTTCGTTAACATCTTCTTAACATGGGTTTCTTCCAAAGGACAAGCATTTTATCCAGGAAGAGGTGGCAGAATACAGTAGTCCAAAGCAGTAAGGGGCTAGACGAAACTTCTTTCTTTTGCAGGCAAAGTGGTGCTTCAAAGATCTGACGTTCAGTAGAGAATTGATGGCAGCAGTTCAAGGCCAGGTAAGTTTTTTGCACAGCAGGAAATATTGGTTAGAATTTTATCATGGTATTACAATTTTTCATTTCCTGTTGGTCTCAGGGCTAAGACTGATTGATGAACAATTTATTGATGACACTTGGAATTTTCTTCTGGCAATACATTCTGGAAGTATCGTATGGGTTTTGGTCCTTGAATGTGAATGACTCAATGTGTTGCACTTCTGAAGTACATGTATTTGTCCTTAGCATTTGTTATTCAGAAGAGTTGTGCACAAAGTTTTCAATAAGATCATAAAAGCCAACCCAGACTTCTGCGTAGTCTACCATCTCTTGCCAGTTACTCTCACCTCAAGGTAATTTGGTACTATCAACTAAGTTGAAATTGTAAATTTTAAAAAGCTTTTTAACTCTTTACGGTGGCCATTTTACAATTTTCATCTTAGTTGATATATTACCAAATTACCTTGTTACCCCTACCAATGCAACGCAGCACGACAGTTTCTTTAGAAACTTACCCCTATTACACTTACCTCAATATACTCTACATGTGAAAACTCTATTACAGTTGCCTATAGGTTGTGGTTACCTATAGGTTGTGGTTACCTATAGGTTGCAAAGTAATTTACTTTGTTTTCATCTTGCTTCTTGTCTATTTATTTTTGCTATCCAAAAGGTCATTGACAAGAAGGGCACTGTTATCTATCATCTGTTGTTGTCTACTTGTGGGGACAACGCTGTGTGCATCAACAGCAAGGTGGCTCAACTAGGTTTGTCACATCAGATTTTTGCTTCCCTAACTTGAATTGTAAGATAATTTTAAGTTTTCCAGACCATTCTAAAAGTTCTTCAACTCCCTGTCCCTCTGAGCATCCTCACTCCCATAGGCAAAACAGCAGTCAGTGTTAAAAATCAGTTCTGTGATACAGAACGTTTACAGAAGTTTATACTCCCAGGGTTGAATTTTTGAGAAAATGTATCAGAAACCCATCCAATTGGTAATTAAAAGAGTGAAAGAGCTATGTTTTTTTAAATCAACCTTGCATGGCAACCCCTCAAATGTTACAATACAATACAATACAATACAATGTTCTTTATTTCAAGAGGGTAAATACATGATTAACCCAGTAAAGAGTTTTCTAACGCATGGCCCTCTGTAAACCCACCCATCCCACCCAGGGATGGACATCCATCACACAGTAATCTCGTGTGTGGGAAATTAACGTCTCGTACCCCAACCCTGCAGGAGACAGGACCTCCATTTATTCGTCCCTATTCGAGAAGACTAGAATATCTAACCATTTCTTGATGTTATAGAAAGGCAGCAAATTCTTCTCAATTATTTTAAGACCCTGATTGTTGGTCCGGCCGGGGCTCGAACCTTCAACCTCCCACACAACAGACCAGCGCTCTATCCATTGAGCTAACCGGGAGGCGGTTAGTGTAATGATTTTATTTCGCCAGAGCTTGAAGCATTGTTTATTGTTGTATTCATTATTTCAGTGGAGGAACAAAAGCTTGCAACAGAGGTGAGAATAGAAATACATACAAGTGCATTGAATTTTACAGATAATGTCAGCAAATAGAAGAGAATATGCATACAATTTTATTCACAATATATAGTTGACATCCAGTTGACATTATTTCACTATTGTGGTACTATTACCTCCAGGTATGACTACAGATTGTCACTGTTATTTTTTTCCATGGGGATTTGATAGAGTAGTGAACAGTCTTAAATGTGCAAATTCATAGGCTGCAGTGCTTTTGTTTCAAATCAACATTTTAGTTGAATACTGTTTTCATGCACACACCACCTTTTGTTCAAGAAGGAGGATATGAAATGTTCGTTAATCACGTAAATGAAAGCCTGTTTTGATAATTTTACAGTTGAAATGACAGTGATTACCTAGTGCTAAGTGTGCTTGACTCTAGATCAAGAAGTCTTGGTTTGATTCATGGGGGGGGGTCATCTTAGACCTAGGCTAAACTGTCATATGACAGACAAGGGGGGTCATCTTAGACCTAGACTTAACTGTCATATGACAGACAAGGGGGGTCATCTCAGACCTAGACTTAATTGTCATATGACAGACAGGGGGGGGTCATCTCAGACCTAGACTTAATTGTCATATGACAGACAGGGGGTCATCCCAGACCTAGACTTAATTGTCATATGACAGACAATCCAAAAGAACTAATATGTAAGTCAGTGAGATCAATTTTTACATTGACCCACTTTTCATGCCTGTGAAGTCCAGGTAACTGTTCATTTACGTAAAGGCAGAGCTATTACAAGTATTGGGTGGCAGCGTTAGATTTGATGGCTTATTTGTGGTTAATTGTTTTGCTTGAGGACCATCCTGCTCAGCCAAGAGAAGCAAAAGCAAATGCCGAAGAACCTGTGGTTCAAAAAGATGCCAGTGAAGTACAGACTCAAGACACTGGTGGAACATGCAATCTTGCTCAAGAGGTAGACAGTGAACATGCCGTATCCTTTGGAGAGACGGTGGCAAAGACAGACACTGAGCACAGTGTTTCTGACGAGAAGGTCACTGGTAAAGACAAAATTTCAGTCAATGCCGAAATCATTGGTAGCAAGCAAACACTTCGTCCCGATGCTGAAGAGTTTGTCCCTTTATCCCCAGAAAGGGATAAAGTGTTAGACAAGATATCTTCTCTACCTGCGTCCAAACAAGCCAGAATCCCTGGTATACTGCACCTTCCTGGGCAAGATTCATTTGCCAAAGCATTATTTATGTCTGAGAGTAAGGTCGACAATGTACCTAGTTCTGACCACCTACCCAATGATATGCCAGCATCTGAACTCCAAACCAAAGATGTACTCGTGCATGACCACCAGGGTAATCAGATGTCAGGGCTTAAGGATCAAGCTGAAAACATGCCCACATCTGAAAGCCAGACACAAAATGAGCCTACTTCTGAATATTCAGTTGAGGGCGTGGCTAAAAAGGTGCAGACAGAGCAAAAGGTCACTGATGTGCCTGCTTATGAGCTCTTGGTCAAAAAAGGATCCACTTTTCAGCACCTGGGAAGTGAGGCTCCCACTTTGGGGCCAGAAGTCAATGAAGTGTTTTCAATCGAGCATTATCGCAACGCAGTGCCAGATAACCACTTATCTGTTGGTGTTGTTGATGTCGCAATGTACAACTACATCTTGAACAAATGCTCTGTGAGTATGATTTGCATGGAGGAACTACCATATGCTCGTTTTGTGTTGATCAAGTCAGACCCCAGGCGAATTATCGAAGCCATGAAGTTTGATATTTGGTGCTCCAATACGAGAACTAATAGAATGTTAAATTTGGCCTTGAACAGTGTTAGAAATGGAGGCAGGGGCTCAGTGTTCCTCCTGTTTGCAGGACATAAATTCATCAAATTCTGCGGTTTGGCTGAAATGTTAACCTCTGTTGACCCGACACAGAGCTGTCCCATGCTCAATGAGCCTTTTAAATTTGGTGGAAAGATGGTTGGAAGATGTGACATCAGGTGGATCTATGCTAACAGCCTTTATTTTAAGGATATAAAGTTTAGACCTGAAAGTCGTGTCTCTGTCGGGTACTTCACGGAAGCTATGGACGGCTGCGAAATTGCTAATGACGTGGGACGGAGCATTGTGAAGGCTTACGAAAGTATCACTTACTTCAACTCAATTTTGCAAGATGCTATCAATACTCGCCAGTCAAACATCGACAATCAAAAAGAGAAACAGCTCAGGAGTGATGCCGAGCTACCTTGGTGGAAAATTGCCAAAGAGGAGTTAAGTGATGATTCACCAGCATCTCAAGAAGACTGGGATCAAGAAGTAAGTGCATACATGTACTTAAACACGAGTGGCTTTAGCTGCCTAAAGTGTTCAAAACGCTGGAAAAAGAACAATATGTCTGGCTAGGCTGAAGTTTATTTTATTTGGACCGACTTACAGTTTGCCGGTTATTTTGACCGGTTACATTGTCAATTTAGATGTCCGTCATAGTTTACCTCTTAAACCGCATGGACATACATGTTCAAGCAATTATTAGATGTCTCGAGATAAAAAAAGATCAGTAACTTTACACTCTAAACAACTTTAAGAATGTCAATACTTAAACCGAAGACTGCATACTCACTCAAAGGAGTAAGATACAGACGTTCTCCACCTCTGGGATGGTCAAGAGTCGATTGCGGCTCCCTCAAGTGACAAACTGTTATCGACTTTATTTTATTATTACTATTTTTTCACGTGTTTATTTTTCTCCCATATGCCAAATGGACTATCAAAAGAAAGATACTTTATAGAATAGTGCAAGCCCTTGTCTAAATTTCTGTCGGGTATTAAACTTTTGGTGGTAACAAATTGCTCCCATAATTGTCCAGGGTTTAGTCTCATTAACTTTTTTTATCTTGGACAGTCTAACTCACCCCAAGCACCCTATAGTTCGGTGGAAGAGCAAGGGATTGGTAATGAGGAGATAACTGGTTTGATTCCAAGCAGTCAGATTTTTTGTTTGTTTCATCAAGGACTAAGGCGCATTATTGTACTTTCTTATCAGATGGAAGACAGCTTGAAAACTTCTGAAGGGCCAGGTACTGGTAACGACAAGACAGAGATCTCTGGTGAGGTCAACAGCGATGACTGTGAAAACCTATCTGTCGATTCCACAAATGTCAGCAGTGATGGACCTGGTCACAGTGACCAGGGTGCTGATCAAATCGAGAGTGACAAAGAAGTCGTTATTAATGAGTATGACTCTCGTCGGCCTAATGCAACAGTCATGGAGCGGCTGGAAAGCAGTGATCCCAATAGGATTAAAATTGAGAAAGACACAATTTCTGCTGATAAGGAACCTGATGGTAATATTAAAAATGTAGACATTGCAGTGGTCAATGATATAACCTCTCAGCCCTTGAATAGTGAGGAGGAAATTCCCATGGAAAAAAGGGACCCGTTAACTGAAAACAACAGTCGTGCTCCCTTTACATCCAGTGACAAGGAAAATCGTTCTTCTTCCCCGATAAGTCCAGCTGGAGCGACAGCTGAAGTTCCCGGTGACGCGCATGATCGGGAATGTAGAATGCTTTCCAAGGCAAGTCCTGAAGAAACAGAAACTGTCCCGTCCAGTGATGGGAATGACTGTGAGGTAAGAACACCTTCCAAATCGAGTCTTGAAGAAGCAGCAATTGTCCCGTCCAACGATGGGAGTGATTGGGAGGTTAGAACACCTTCCAAAACAAGTCTCGAAGGAGATAAAACTGTTCCTTCCAATGATGGGAGCGATTGGGAGGCTAGGACACCTTCCCAAACAAGTCTTGAAGGAGTAGAAACTGTCCCGTCCAATGATGGGAGTGATTGGGAAGTTAGGACACCTTCCAAAACAAGTCTTCAGAGGGATGTGGGTGGACCAACCAATGCGTCAAGTTCTCTTTCCAAGACTACCATTGAAACTGATACAGTTGCTAAGTCCACTGATATACGTCCTCTGGAAACATCATCAAAGACAGGTGAAAGAGTTAATACAGTCACACCACTTTGTGCCACAAGTGACTTGGAAGCAGGAATTCCGGATAAGAGTCTTCCTCAAGAACAAAGAGGAGTTGTGCCAACCATGTCGACAACAAGCTTAGACGAAGAATTCGCATCTCAGTTCATAGGTGGGAGTGATTGGGAGACGGGCACTCCTTCTAAAACAAGTCTTGTTGAAGGAACTGCAATTGGGCCCTCTGGCGAGAGTGACTGGGAAACTAGAACACCTTCCAAAACAAGTCTTGACACAGACTTATCAGCCCAGCTCCCACCCTTGAGCGACAGGAATACAGAGAATCTTCTCAAGAACAGTCTTAAAACAGAAATGGCAGAGTACCCCGGTGACTTAAGTGATCTGGAACCTGGAGAACCTTCCAATTCTAGGCTCATTCAGACAACCTCAGTGGCTGATGGTGAGAAGATCTTTTAGAAAATTAATTTCTTTCGTTTCAATTATGAAATGAATTTTAGGAAATGCAATGCGTTAAGTTCGTTATGTTCCTTTTGGTTCTTGAGGAGAGTGGTTATCCATTGCACTAAGTATTGTTTTTGGAGCGTACAAGAGAGAGATTTGTTGTTAGCCATAAATGTCGAAATTCATGCGTGCTTTGTTGGTACTAAATATGGTAAGTAATTGCCATTAAGTAATGTCGTTGCACAATAATTGGTACTAAAGAAATGTTTTGTTTGTTACCATCGCAGGCAGGTCAGATGACATCCCAGCCATTGCAGGTCTGGCTAATAGCGAGTCGTGTCGGGAAGTGTCTTCAAGTTGCTTGCTGTCACCAGAACTACTTTCTCAAGAAAGCACAGAGGAATTAGTGATATCTGACTACGTACCCCTTGAGATAGGTTAGGAAGTCACAGCCTAGTAGCTTTTTTTGACATGAATTTTATCCAGGCCTGCAAGTATCACTCTGGTTTTAATCATTGATATATATGGGCATCTCCTGATTAAGGAGGGGCGGAGGGAAGCAGGAGAGTTTTGCAAAGACCCTAATACCCTAGACAATGGTATACGTGGAAAGCTCGACAAAGAAGCATACAGTAAATGACTGCATCTACTGACATGAACTAGGAAAATTAGCAAGTGTTTGACAAATATTTGTGCAGTGAAAAATGGATAATGATTTAGCAGAATTTTGTTGCCTCTTACGGCGTGTCCGTTCCAGCATTGATACATTTTGTGCCCAACGAATTTACCAATCGATGATTATGCCAATATTTATGTATTGCGGCTGTAATAGTCTTGGATGGCCAGAGTCCCGCAAGCGCATGATCCGCTCCATTGAGAAACGAAGCCTCAAAGTCATTACCCCGAAATGTAGTCCGAAGAACTGCGATCTTCGGTTTTTAACAATTGACAGCTTTCTGCAAAAGAAAGCGTGCTATTTTGTTTTTGTCTGCCTCAATGGAACTACATGTTTCCCATTTACGAATTATTTTCAACGTTTTCACCATAATTCCTTAAACACTAGAAACAATGGGAAATCAATAAAACTACCCAAGGTGAAGTTGGATTTTGCGCGCCTTAGTTTTTATTTCTTGGGTGCTTCACTTTTTAATTCATTGCCATTACGTTTGAGAAACATTAATTCTAAAGTTTTATTTAGGAAAGCCCTGTACGATTTTTTACTGGTGATTTTTTATTGTAGTTTTTAACGGTTTTAATCTGGTGCATGTCTTCTTTAAATATTTTTGTTTATTCTTATTTATGTTACAATTATGTTAAATATATATATATATATATATTTTTATCAACAGGTTTTTTTTTTTTAACAGCAGGACCCCGTTGATAACAGTACTTGGTACTGAAGGGCTATCCTGGATAAATATTCGATTATTATTATTATTATTATTATTATTATTAATTTGACGCTATCGTGTCGAAGGAGCGATATTTTGCGATATGTGCCCTAGCTTTTCTCCCTTTTCTTTCCTTTGGTTTTATGGTGTGTCATCTGAATTCCTCGCGCTTTGCCTGCCAATGGTTTGAAATCCAAAACTCGAATGGTGGTGGATGAGTTCTATGAAAATCCTAATCTTAAGGCACACTCTCGTGGACAAGACGGCGAGGTTTAAAGTGTATAAGCAAGACTCTTGCGTTGGAAGTAGCGCTGACCTTTGATGATGGTTTCTTAAATACATGTCTACATGTTTTCTCATTGTTGTAGGGAAAGAACATTCTATTATAGTTCAAGAGAACTTGACAAACAGTGGCACTTTTTGGGCCAAAATTACTCGAGCCAGGAAGGAGGAAGATGCCTTCGTGGATGCCATGGTACGCATGGGGTAAGTATTTTGTGTGCTTGGCGGCCATAAGCCAAATGAAGGGTTTTTCAAACGCGTCCATGCAATTCTGGGTTTTGTTCCGTATCTCAAGGAGTAGCGTCTTTCGTTTTTCCTAAGCCCCCCTCAGACGCCCATGCAATGTCAAACAGTGGTCCAAAGGAATGACGGAGCGCCACACGAAATGCGTGCAGTATTTTTGACTGGAGACACATAGAGTCTGAAAGTAGAAGATTCCTTTTGGGGATTCCTTTTGGGGATTCCTTTTGGGGATTCCTTTTGGGGATTCCCTTTGGCTTATATGGAGGAATCGGTCTCCTAGCTTCCTCTCCTCTCGATCGAGTTTGTTTAGCAGTGAAAGTGTGTTGTTAATCAAGCAGTTATTTTATGACAGGACCCACATAGAAGCCAGCAATAAAACCCTTGATCCGAGTGAGATTTTTATATACAAGCAGTGTGCCGTGAAGGGGCGAGATGAGTATTGGTACCGTGCTCTTGTAGAGAAAACCCTGGACAAGGGAAAGGTAAATTGGTTTTCCTGTGCGAGTCTTGGTTTGTAACGGATCATTTGAATGGTTACAAACTGAAAAAAATATATAATTTTCTTCCTGGGGCTTCTAACAAATTGACTATTTAAATGTTATCTTTAGATTTGCATCCGACTACTGGACATTGGTGATGTGTGGGAAGTGAATCAAAGAGACCTGAGGGTGCTTGATGACAAGTTTTACACTTCTCCTCCTGCCCAGGTTAGTCATGGATATGGCTGTGTATTTGTGTTGTTTGAATAAGCATGAAGGGACTGTGTTGACAAGATTGAGTATACAATCTCTGAAATTGGAAACTGCGCGCGAAAATCCTGCTTCTGGCGCTCTGAGGATCAAATTTCACGTTGTTAGTCTAGTAAAAATACTTAGAATCAATTTACTAAGGAACCGTTTTCGGTTTTTGTAATTTCCACTGCAGGCTTTTGAGTGCTGCATTGTGTACTCGAATTCTGCCAACAAAAAGGTACGAGAAATTTTTGTGTTATATATGTTCTTGTAACTGTAGCTAGATATGTAGCATCCATAAACAGCGTTAAATTACTGGAAATCTTAAAATGCTTTTTTGTCAGAAAATGACGCTCCTAGTTTTCCCATAGTTCGTCCGTAATAGAGCCGACTTTCATCGCCACACCATAGATAGGTTAGATCGGTTATTTTAGAATGTATTCGGCTGGACGAGGATGTACTCGGCTGTAGCGGCTACATTCGGCGCTATCGGTCTGGCCCAAATCGGCTGTTTTCGGCTATTTCGTTTCCTGACTCAATGATGATGTGGCCGTTAAGCTGTACTCATTTTTTTAGGAGAAGACTCGAATCGCCAAACTCGTGAGAAGAAACAAAAAAATCCGAGTTCTGGTGGTAAGTGTCGTTATCGTTTTGTGATATTCCTTTTGTTAGTTTTGTAAGTAAACTTATTCTGAATTTTGAAAATCTGAATCCTGTTGTTTCTCTTTGAGCAGAAAGGTTACAGTGCGGGTACTGTAGAGGTTCAAGTTCTGTCGTAAACAAGATGATTCTTATTTATCAGGTATATTTATGAGACAATAGAGAGAGGATAGAGCGCTTTTAAATTGCATGTCACCAGACTGAAACCAAATTAATCACAGCTACTAAACAGATCGAAGGAAGCTAGGAGCCAAGGGGGACTCTTGGTACAAGCAAGAAAATGTCTTAACCGTGAGAAAACACGAGTGAAGGTTTTAGATTTTGATTCAAATCACTAATTGCTCCAGTTGCTTTATGATTTTAACCAAAAACAATGAATAATTTATTTTAATATATTTTGGTTTTTATCAACCTAGCCCTTCGTCAGAGAGAATGACAAAGGGCTAACGCTCGAAATGTGAGCTTTTGAAACTCTCTACGGTGGCCAATTTACATTATAAACTCAGTTGATAAATCAAATCATCTATATACCCCCTACGCCCCACCTCCCCCCACCGTAGCAGGAGCACCACAGTTTCTATAGAAAGTTGCCCTCTATATGCACCAGCTATAAGCCGAGGCGAAAACTGCCTTAGTGTCTCTAGTTTTTCTCGAAACATTTTTTACCAGAATGTAATTTATCTCTTCAGTTCTTTGACAATAGTATTTGTCCTTTGTTTTACTTTCAGATTATTTTACGAAAATAGAACGTTGATATCCCGAACTCTCACGGTTTTGTTAGTCTTGGATATATCTTTAATGTTCATACTAAGTGTAAGAAATATTTTGTACGCTTTCATAAGTTTTGTAAAAGTTCTTACTTGCAAAAAGATGAAAAATTTACCCAACGACGTTCCTTTTGGTGCATTGCACCAGACAAAATAATTTGATGTTTTTCCAAGTTATTTATTGTAACGATTTCAAGGTTTTTCTCTGTGTAAATAATAAAGCTGCTTTCGTTTCTTTCCGTTTATTTTTACAGTTTTGTCGTTCATGTCACTATTTTAACACTAACGGTCATGAATTGTGTTGCCTGGAATAAACCATCCCCAAAATGGGAAACATCCTTGGGGTTATGTAGGGCTTACTCATGTAGTTTTACAGTAATTGGTTTGAACCCGGGGGGTAACATGTGTGAAAGTGTAGTGCGATCTACTGGGTGAGTGTAGTCCTGAGAAGGACAGTTGTGAGTGGTGGTGATTGACGTTTCGACAACCTGTGCGAAAACCTGTAGTTTTGATAGATCAGAACGCAGATTGTGCTTAGTGCCAATAATCCAAGCACAATTAACTTACTGACTACCAGGCTGCATGACAGGGAAGATTGGCCAGAAAGCTTTGATATGGTACACTTAAATGGGAAAAAATTATTGGAAAAACTTGAATGTGTGTCAGATGACCAGCCTCTTTGGTATGACACGGCTAGTAGCTTGGACAGCATCGAGTGGGTACAGGCGAAGATGTTAAAAATGTTGGGACACAAACATTTTCTCTTACTTCGTTCTATTTTGAAATTTTAAGATACCTGTCATTTTTGAATTTTGTTGAAACCTTTTATTTTTACTATGAAAAAGACAAACAAAAATCGAAAGCGAAACCATCGAAGAGAAAGCAAACCAACTATGCGGTTTTTATATCTTTCCTAACTCAGCTGGTTAAACTTATTTATTATTTTCTTAAATTACTCTTCAATTGTCTCAGATAGATTAAATCTGCCTTAAGTTAAATTGCTTGCCACTATTACAGAATTGGTAACATGCGCAAAGTATGATAACTTATAACGCTCTGTAGCTTAAGCTATAGAGATCCAAAACTTCATTACAAATGAACTAATGTCGCTCTGTGAATAGCACAGTTGTGAGGGCTACCATTGGCACAGTTGTAACACTCGTTAGTTAACGCAGGTCGTTGTATACAATGGGAATGAGGCAAGCCCAGGTAAGAGGTTAAGCCAATAGCACACCGACACAGTGGAACTGGCACATTTTAAATTGTGCTAAACCACAGAGTTTTTTATTGCTCAGATATAGATGTTTAGCACCTAGTAGGAAACTTTGCTTCATGGTATTTTGTACTTATACGACTACCTAGCTTCTACAACAGTTGTGTTTTTTTTGTTTTTTTGTTTTTTGCTTCCAACGTATTTCAAACCAATAATTTACTTATTAACAATCTATTGAGCGCGATCACTTTGCTACTCTGAACACATTATTATAGTCCAACAGTAGTCCTTGTATGAACCCATAAATTCTTAGAAATAGTTAAAATCAAGCCTCCTACTTACAGTTTTAAATTAACCGGGAAAACAAGAATGGAAAAGAAACATACTTATGCCTCAAAGTTATTTCCTCGATGTAAAACCAATCGCTCGTACTAGACTTACAAGAAAAATATAACACTTAAAAGGGAGTGTTGCCAATCGGAATTCTGTAGTTTTAGAATAGGCCATTTTACAGTTGTTTACTTAGTTGCCAAGCCTTTGATTCAGAGTGAGGCTGAAGGTGACCTTGTTGTGATAGAGACCTGTATCTACTTAGCAAGATAAAAAAGTGATTTACATTTGTAAGGCAGCAAGGTTTGTATCATAACAAGGTCAACCCTAGCCTTACTCCCATTCAAAGGTTTGGCAACCACGCACACAACTGTAAAATGGACTATTACCCGGGGTACACTTTGCTTTGTTTGTCAACCGTCGTACTCGTATTCATGCGTTCCCGAGGAGAAACATTTTCTATAAATTTGAAAAAACCGTAAGTTGATTGTAAAGAAAATAATTGGACAAAATCGAAAATTATTGTTTTGGATTAACCTTAGATTAACTTAAGAATTTCAAACCAGTCAGTGGAGTATTAAAAGGCAATGAAAACGTCGCCACTTGGTCCTCATTAATGAAGAGAAAATCTTAAAATGATCCGTATACAAGATTATCATTTTTATATAATATATATATGTATTTATACTTTATAGCTAGGATAACTCTCCCAAAGTAATAATTTTACTCTTAACAAGATAACGTCTTATTAACATTTCAACTGGAAAGATAAATATCAGCATTTTAGCGTTCAATCCACATTTTTAGTTTCGCTTCTTTGCAGCAGACCGCTTTTGAAAGACGTTTCACTAACACTAAGACAAAACCTCGTGTTGAGGCAACACATAAGACTAATGGGAATCGCTTAAATTCACGTGACCAGTAAAGGCGCGGGAAACGCCCAACCAAGTCGCGCTCAGTTTCAGCGTTGCTTTTTGATTGGTTAAGAAGCCACAATTTCGGATTAATATTGATACGAACTAAACTCGCTCCAATAACAATAATTTTACGTTTTTAAAATGACGTTGTGTGCTTATTACGTGCTCATAATCTTATAATTTATGTTAACTCTTGAGTTTGTTTTTAAAGCGAATTTGAATACTCTAATAATTCATTTCTTTGGTTTGGAGTCGCCAGGTTGTGTGGAATAACGTGTTAATTCCTTCGAATCGCCGAAAATTTCTCTAAACCATGACGCTCTTAAAGCGGACGACAAAAGACTCATTTTGACAATGCCATTACGAGCTAAGTTTTGCCTTCGTTTTAAACCGAAGCTTGCTGAAAAACCAGCGTCGCCATTACAGATTTATCCCGAAATTTCTTTCGATAAAAGTAAAGCTCATATTTGAGATTTTACATAAAGCCTCGTCTTAAAAAACAGAAATAGACCCTATCTTAGAACTGTCTTGTGTTGTAAACTTGACTTGTGATGGTAATCTAGTTTGATCTTGTCCGGTAAGGGTCTGTATGGTGACAGGCTATTGTGCGATCACGTGACTGTCTCCTGCACGCAGTAAATTTTCACGTGGTCACACGATGCACACGATGAGGACTCCACGGAGTTAAAGTATTTTTTTAATCTCACTTCCTGTAATGTTGGACGTCTTCTACTCTGTAATGGCCGCGTACTTTCATCTGCAAAACGCAAACCACGTTTATTAGTAAGGCTGTGTACTTTGGGGAGTTAGTTTCTCCTTAATTTTACTCAGTTGCACTTGAATTTCGTGATTTTATCTTTTAATCATAGTGACATGATTTGATAATTTTGATAATTTCTCTCCCCGAGAGAAGTTTTCAATGTGGAGTTTGATTTTAAGATCTTTATATTACAGTACGTTCTTAACCAATGTTTTAAGCTCAGTAACTTGCTTAATTGTACTTTAAAAGCTCTTCTCGATTGAGTGTTGTAAATTATTGAAAATGGTCAATCAGAAGAAAGGAAATATCTTAAAAAGCCAATTACAACTTAAGTTAAAACAAACCCTTCTGCCCGTAGCGCGGGAAAACACGGGTGATTGGTTTTAGTTTTGCATCTGATTGGTTGAAAGAGTGGGTTGATTTTTCTAGACCAATCAAAGAGCGACGTAAAGCAAAAGCAAAGCAATCGCGTATCACTTTCGACGCTCAATTGAAAATTGTTCAAGTCAATCAAATCAATTTAGGTATGTTCCAAGGTTTTGGGTCATTACAGATGTTAGGGCCTCACTATAAATTTGGGATATCTCGTAGGTAGGTTTTATCAGTTCAAATTCAGTTTTTAATTCTTCACTTGACTTGTAACAATTTTGTATTCGCACTTGAGTAGTCATTTCTATTAGGGTTAGTCATTATAAAGGGTTAGGGAAAGCGAGATATTTACCTACCTACGAGGCATGCCATCTAGTGACAACCCCTCAGTAAGTGCACGAAGGAATCGTCTATCAAAAAAGCGTTTTCACAGTGACATTTATTTCTATGAATACTGGTAGTTTATGTTATACTTCCTGTCTTATCTCTGTAAGCAGCTTACAAAATGATTTTGATAAGCAAAAGATACCTTTTAAACATCTCACTATTTTAAATTTTGGGAAAAAAATAGTTGTTGAATTTAAATTATAACTAGATATTAGTTTTATCAGTCATACTCGTTGGAAGACTGTATGGTAAATACTTAAGAGAATGTGATGTTGGTCTCAATTGAAGGGTGACAGCAAATGTTTTAGCTGTTGATTTATAACCAAGATACAAATGTAATGTGTTTTATTGAAGAATACTAACCAATCTTTAAATCATGTTTGAGAAAGTTTCAGCTTAGTTTGAGATCAACTAGATACACCCAACTATTTACCCGGAGCTTAACTGAAGGGAATTATCAAGTTTTTCTGCATGTACAGATAGCGACCTTTTTATTAAATTTACGTCATTTCTTTCTTGAGGGGAGTGGTTTTGTGTAGTTTATGTGAGTACTTAGGGTATGCTACAGATGTGTTAGAAGTCGACGTGTATGGTCGGCATTGGTTAAAGTGAATCCGCATGTTGGCAAATGGAACAATGGGTTGGATGAAAGGCGGACTTATGGTTTGTTTTTTTGAAGTTACAACGCAAAATTCAGCTGCAGTGTACAGAGAGGAATTAAATATCCCAAAGATTCCAGAACCGGGAGGAAGCGTGAGTAATACTTAAAGCACCATGATGGATTGTGGCAAGTGCAAGGGGTTGATCTTGCTATGGGACCGAAAGAATAAAACGAGAAATAAAATGTAGAATTTGAAGGACTGACCTATCTAAACGGGTCGACCTTGCATCCTACACAGTCCTTTAGAAGGTGTCTGCCGGAAGAAGCAGAAAACAAGATTCGATAGAGATGAAGCAAGATTGGTGAGGGGCAAAGGAACGGGCTAAGTGAAAGACTTAAAGGCTGGATTGTTGAAACCTTTCTGAATAACCATTGTAAGATTTTTTGTGACGGAGTAGCAACAGATGTTGTTAAGATTGCATGTGGAGATCTAACCTGACTAATATCAGTAAGTAACGGACTGAAGCCAGTTTTTGGGTTCTTACGTTAACAATTTCGATTGTTAACACATTAATAGCTGATATGAGGTTTCAGTAGTTTGAAAAGATGTAGCTTAAATGAAGGTTCATGCGCACCAGCACGCCTTGTCGTGGAAGGAAAATAGTGGTAAAACGAAGGGAAAGGAATTATGTCGCTAACACAGTTGACTAAAGAAAGTTTAACAGAGAAGAGAAGAGGACAATCGGGAAGAGATAAGATGTAATAGAGCTTTGGAAGTCAAAAGAAAAGAGAGAGCAAATTAAAAGAGCCAAGAACAAAAATCGAAGGAAAAGAGAGCAGAAGATGAACAAGGAGAGAAGACTTGAAAGAGGAGTTGAGACTTGAGGAGCGAACCAAAAAAAGAGACAGAGAGAAAAGGAGACAGAAACGAAAGATTAAGAAAGTGGTTAGGAGAAGGGAAGAAGATTTTGCAGGACACTGACCTTCGGGGATCCTGCAGTGTGAAAGACAGACAGATATTGCTTTCTAAGAAGTTCCAGACGAGCATGCCCTGAAAGACCACAACAAGATGGAGCGACAAATTAACAGGCACAAGAAAGAAGCAAAGAAGTGTGTGAGGGGTTACCTCGGGGAAAGATTCCGCGATTCTCCCTAAAACTCAAAGGTAAAGTACGTTGGCTTGATGTTTTCTCTTGGTGTAGGCTCGGAGTTGCTCGACGGACACGTACCTAGTGCGGAGTCTGGGGATGAACCTTCGTCTTCGTCCCGGTGACTGAACTCTGAAATAAAAAGAGAAAAAAGATCAGACCATATTGTAAGCATTTATTCCCTTTGGAATTTTTCGAACACAGCTGGGGTAGGCCGTGAAACACGCAGTTATAGTGACAAACATTGGCACAAACAAAAGCTTGCGAAGCTTTTGTTTCTCCGCTGCGCTATGACGAGATTATGAGCAACGGCTATTTCTGCGGAGTGAAGCACGCGGAATCTCGTCCAGTGGAAGCCAACCAGTTATAACGCTTCACCCCTAGTATATCTGATCTATGGTGTTTTTGCTACTACAACTTAACTGATTGTATTAAAAGTAATAAGCATTCTCGTCGATGAGCGACTAGTTGGCTGCATACCATGCAGCAATGAGAATAGTGTCTTTGTTACATACCTGAGCCCTTGTCGAGATTGACAGCAACCATTTTCCTTGAATAAAAGAGAACAGAGCATGCATAAGTGTTTAGAATAAGGTATTTAGCAGACTAGATATTTTGTCCAGATAGGTCGGGACATGTTTAGTGATGCAGAGCGCAAAGATCTCTGATTGGAAACTACACATCATCTGCATTTTCCATAGAAGAAAAAGTAGTCAATAAGGTCTTTCATAATATCTGAATCTATGCTCGTTTTGTCGTAGTATATCAAATAATAGTATGTCAAATAATATCTGGATCGTTTGCAAGAGACAAAAAGCTATCAAACGAAGCAGCCAGTTCTAATCCCTTTGTGAATGAAGTGAGCTAGTATAAAACTTATTTCACTGGTGGTGTTTATTATCATGGTTTGGTAGAACGACCATGCGAGTGATTCAACAAGTGGCGTGCATTTCTTTCTTCGCTACTTGTACCTTGTGACAGGTGATACTCACTTTGCGGGTCCTGGAGTTTTAATCTTTTCAACTGGTGAGTTTGGCTCCTGGAACCGTGGATTACTCATGGGAAATGAAATACGCTTCTTCTTCTCTTCATGAATCCTAAAAAAAAATGTTTGGTTTCAAGTGCACGTCCGCATTCAGGGACTCGTCATTTTTTTCGGAGTGTTGTCGGTGTTAAAGAGCTTAACAGAGTACATGAGGAGTTTACAAGGATAGAATCTGGCTGCTCGCATCAGTTATAAGGTTCTTAAGCCAAACTTTCACTTTTACACGATCAGTTGAATTTATTCTCGTTCCTCCTCGCTCCTTACTTTCTGCCATAATGCATGACGTTTCTACTAGCTCTACACCTAGGAATATTCGTGAACTTTTTGTTAATTCATCTGACTTCCATACATATAACACGCGTTTCTCTTCCGCAGAGAATTTTTATGTGAAATTTAAGTCTTTCTCTGCATTTGGTACGAGGTTATGGAACTCTCTAAACCCTGACTTGCGTAAGTTCACGAAAAGAGCATTTAAAAGGAAAATTCATAAGTTGCTTTTGACTATACTTGGGATTGAGGACTATTGTGTTAACGCCCATTCACTAATATTGAAATTCAATACTAATGATTATCGAATATTATAACTGTAGTACTTCGCTCACATCCATATGTCACACTTTATTCTCTCCTCTCTACTTTCCAGTCTGCTCTTCCTGTATTTGATTATTATGTCTCGTTTTAACTCACTAGTAATTTTATTGTATTTAATTTATATGACAACTGTACGTATCTTTTAGCTTCTAATGTAGTAAACTAATGCATGGCTTATAACCCCAGTAATATTGTAGTTATGAAATCTCTTTACCTTACAATGTGTAGTATTTACTTATTTATTGCTAATACCCGCCAAGACTAGCTAATGCCATATGCAGGTTGTGCAAATTTGCTTTTAATGTTCTATGAAATAATAAAAACAGTCATATCTCTCAAAGCCGCGAAAGTGATCAATCACATAACAGACTGGGATCTCTCCCGTTGACTGCGTGAGTGCCTTCCGTTGCGTGCATACTAAAATTTTGACATTGTGTTAAAAGCAAACGAGTAGATTGACCTGAAAGTCAGGTTTTAATCAACGTAAATCTCCAGCCTAATTCACAAAACCAAAATGGCCGCCATGAGTGTCAGACCGCTGACCACACAAAGGCTCATAAGTCACAGGTAACAATATAGCTACAAGATATAGTTATGATTAATCTTTATAATATTACAAGCATTGTATGCGAACAAGGAGATGGAGATTTTACAAGAAGAGTAGTCACTTCCTAAGAGGCATGTCGAATGACAAGACACTGGACCTGAATTGATAAAATCAAAGGAGTTTTCGCTTTGAAGAGCTGTTGGACACATTATAATGCGTTTGATATCTCATGAGATGTAAGAAGCCTCAAGCTTAAACTTAAAAAAAAAACACGAAAATGTTACTGACCTCTTTCTATCCAATTTTAATCGATAGAATCCCCTCAGAAAGGCTAATATAATGACTAACACCAGAGCAGTGCCGACACTGTATACAACTGCATCATAATTCTTTCTCGCTTCCTTTTGGAATGCTGCCTTTGGTTGTGGTAAAGCTAAATAAAAACCAATTTGACTCCATTAATTTAGAAAACTTCCGTAAGCTGCGTAATAGTAGAACTGGACTGTGAATTATAGACAGGTCAAAAAGTGTCCCTTTTTTCACCTGGCGATTTCTTAAGTTAGGGGTTTAAAATTCAGACGCTTAATAATGGATGTGAGGGGCGTGGAAATGATTTTTAATTGCTGAGGTCTTACACAAGTGCCTTATTAAAATCAGGATATTTAACTGATTATTAATACCTTTTCATACCAGGTTGAGAGGGGGGGAGTCACATGCCCTGTTTGCCCTCCCCCTCAGATACGCCTTTTGACGTGAAGTGCATTATGTCATACAGGAAACTTTGGAAAGAAAGTGAAAGAAAGTGTTCAACCATATCTGTGTTGAAATAAGA